CCGCAGCAGATGAAGTTTGACCCGGACAGAAGCAGCTGGACCTGCCGCTGTTTCTGCGGATCTTAGGGCGGAGGTTCTTCTGTGTCGCTGCCAACACTAAAGCGCATTCTGCGGCGTGTTTGTGGCGGGAGTTGCGGTGTAGTCCCGGTGGTATTTTTGGTGTATTCGCGGTGGTTCTGCGGCCGTAATGGGCTGCCCTCTCTCAGCGGAGGCGCCGCGCTCCTGGCCACCGGGAGATGATGAGAATGGGGGGAGTGAAGATGATGTGGTCCAGGTGAGTCTGAGCGCGCAGATCCGCGAGGTGATCAAGCAGAGCTGGAGAGAGATCCAGGATGACGTCAGCAGGGTGGGGATCATCATGTTCGTCAGGTGAGTTACTAACAATCAATATCCAATAATCACATGTCAGGTTAAAGGGTCTATGGTAGAACCCAGGTCTCTGCACACGGGGTCTGGTTCTGGTTCAGTCTGATTTATTCTTTAAAGAACCTTGGAGAGCAGATCCCTGAGGACAGACTTTCACAATAAAAGTCATATTATGAGCCTCGACTGTCAAAATAAAACTTTTGTGAAGATAGTTGTTAGTTCAGCGTTTCCACGGAAACGACCAGGAGACTCTGTCCCCAATTCTGGTTTCAGTCTCCCTGGAGGTTTATTGGATGTTTTATTACCTGAATATTTACCTGTGTGATGTCACGGCAGTTCAATGCAAAACCTGATGCAAATGGTTCCTGTCTGTTTGTTTCCATGGTAACGACACATGTTCATGAGGGCCGGGTCGGTCCTCACTGTGCTCAGTGGAATTGTGGGTAATGAGGGCGTAGCCTGGTTAAAAACCCAGTCGGTAGGAGGTCATTCAGAACTAGCGAGCTCATCCTTCAGACCCAGTTCACCTGGAACCAGACCACATAGAACCAGACCACACGAAACCAGACCACTTAGAACCAGACCAAATAGAACCAGACCACACAGAACCAGACCACACAGAACCAGACCACACGAAACCAGACCACTTAGAACACGGAACCAGACCACTTAGAACCAGACCACATAGAACCAGACCACACAGATCCAGATCACACAAAACCGGACCACTTAGAACCAGACCACATAGAACCAGTGAGAACCAGTGAGGAGGTTTTCTTCTTCTTATCCTCGGAGGCTGTTCGAGACTCACCCAGAGTGTAAAGACGTCTTCTTCATGTTCAAAGAGGTGGACGATCCTGAAACTCTGCGGACCAGCAGAGAGCTGCGAGCCCACGGACTCAGGTGACACTCACACTTTCACACACACACACACTCTCACACTCTCACACACACACACACTCTATGTGTGACAGTCTTGGTTTCTCTGCAGGATCATGTCCTTCATTGAGAAGTCCGTTGCCAGGATCGACCAGGACGAGCGTCTGGACCAGCTGATCCTGGATCTGGGCAGGAAGCACTACGTCTACGACGCCCCACCAAAATACTACGAGGTTAGTCAGACACCTGCTGCGTTCAGGTCCACCACCAAACATCTGGTTCAGTTCATGAAGAGGAACTTTAATTTCTCACCTGCTGCAGTGATGTCACAGTGTACTGCAGCACGCTGTGACATCATTGGTGGGTGTGGTTTCAGGTGGAATGGAACACAGCCTCTGACCACTGTTGACTTCTTATGTGCTTGCTTTAACCCCGCCCAGCCAGAACTGCACCTATGTGTTCATCAAACAAACTATCTGTCTCTCTGCAGTTTGTGGGGGCGGAGTTTATCCAAGCCATGAAGGAGCGCTGGACGTCAGAGCAGGAGGATGCCTGGAAGGTAACAGCTGTTTATTGAACTCATAACATGAACCAGGTGATTTATGAGAGAGGAGACTCCGCCCCCTGACCTTTTTAGTCCCCCTGTACCTATATCATGTTTGTACAGTTTAATTTATGATCAGGGTCTGAAAAACAAACTGATCCTGACCTTTGACCTCCCAACCCCCTCCCACCCCTTTGTTTGTTTGTTTGTCTTTTATTTTTTAAACAGGAAACTTGTCACTTTCATTTTAAACAGTAATGAACTGAATCATGATCTAAATGACTGAAACCAACAGTGTGCTGGTCCGTCTCTCAATACTGTCCTTCCTCTATTTGTGGCTCATTGGTTCCTACTCAAGACAAATATCAGAGACCGGTCTGAAGTCCACCAGAGTCCAGAATCCAGACGGAGCTGGTCCAGACTGAACCTTCAAACCTGTTTCCTCTGGATCCTAAAAGATATTTTCTTCCTGAGCTTTTAAAGATACAGTCACACTTTGAAAAACAAACATAATAACTAATAACCAATAATCAATGACATTGATGTGATGATCAGAGCTGTTTGTATCAGCTGATGAAGAGTTCAGACTCACTGATAAACTCAGGACTTTTCTCCATGTGTCTGTTCCTCCAGACCTTGTTCCTGTACATCAGCAGCACCATGAAGAGAGGCTTCAAGCAGGAGCAGAGGAACCAGAGGAACCAGAGTGATGTCCTCAGACGTCCTTCTGTCAGTGTGTCCAAACAGGTTTAGAGACAGAGCTTTAAGAAACCTTTGGTCATTATTGATTGATTATTATTGATTAGCTGTAGAATATTTCTCTGTGAATGTTTACATAGCATTCTACTGTAGGCTCTTATTTTGAAATTGCTGTGTGGAGGTACTTCCTCTGACCCTGTGCATGTCCTGGTGAATAAAATCCAAACTTCCCTGATTGGTTGTTGAAACGTCATGTGATGCAGGTGTGTTTGGTTCTGGTCGTTAGTCTCTGTTCAGGAACAGTGATGAGGACTTTAGCACAACCCATCAGCTCTCAGCTGTGAATCTTAGTCTAACATTTTTCAAAGTTGTGCTAATGCTACATAGCTAACGTTAACATTAACAGCTTCAGCCATCATTGTGTTTATAAGACAACAGGTTATATGTTCCCTGAGCAACTACTTCTGGACACTACCATGATTCAGTATCAGAGAGCTAGCTGTTAGCATGCTAACTTCAGTAGGAGAAAATATGTGATACAGACAGGAGCTAGCTGTTAGCATGCTAACTTAAACAGAAGACATGAGTTGACATTGGTGTTTGTTTCAGCTGTTGGTGGTATGGGAAAAAAGTTTGATGCTAAACTCACAACGTTTCTTGTAAAGCTGCTAATGCTAACATTAGCTTTGTAGCAATAGCTAAAATTACATATAGCTCCTTTAAATGAAGAGTTTATGTGTGCAGATGAAGGAATGAATCAGTTGGAGGTGTAGAGACACTGCTGTGAGAGGTGAGACATTACCGGGGCAACAGGAGGCTGGTCATTATGACATCATACAAAAGGATGCATGAAATCAGTTTATTACAAATGACATGGTGATACAAAGAAATCCTGTTGATGATGAACACATGAGAGTCCAGATATCTGCAAATCATTTGAACTGAATAAATAACAGGAAGGTTTTATTCTGAAAGGACCTTCACACGATTGAATGCATAAAAAACTTTTTTTCTGAGAAAAGGAAACATCCAGAGTAAATATGAACCACGGTCTATTCAGCCTGTTTCTACAGCTTCATGCATGGTAACAAAAGTAACCAATCACCTGGAGCAGCAGCAGTTACATCATCACAGCAACAGCCAATTAGGTTTGTTGTGGGCAGGTGATAAATAAATACATTCTCAATGGCTGCAGAGCATGAACACACCATGACTGAAAAAATAAAACTCAGCTCCACCTGTCTCCACCAGGTGTGTGTCAAATGAAAAAGTGCACATTTGGTGAACTAGCCTCAAACTCTCACCTGCCTCAAGCTACAGGAAACATGCACTTTACAAAATAAAAGTCTAAAATACTCTGTTTCTCCAGCCAAACACTTTACAGTTGAGTGAAATCCTCCCGAGTCCAGTTAGCCTAGCTTAGCACAAAGACTGAAGCAGGGAGAAACGTTATCCTAGCTCCATCACAGAGGAGACAGCCACAGAGAGGACTGTGCCTGTCAAACAATACTGAGGGCATCAGCTACAAGGCACCTGAACAGACCTGCAGTGTTCACACAGCTCATTAACTGTTTCATGGTCACAGCTCAGTGATCCAGTGATGACACCAATCAACAATAACCAGCAGCTAGGCTAACAGTATCCCTCTGCTCGCAGTCTTTGTGCTAAGCTAAGCTAAACACACACTGCTCATCAGCAGGACTTCACTCAGCTGCTGTTTCTACTTACATCTGTACAGCGTCTCTACACTGAGGCCCAGCTGCTTCAACACATGGAGGAGGGAACACACACACACACACACACACACACACACACACACACTCTACACAGGTGTCTCACCTCAACCTCCGCCCTCTGCTAAGCAGATGGTAAAGATGTAAATACTTTATTCATAGAGCACTTTTCTAAGGCGACGTCCACAGTGCTTTCATTTTAAAACTCATCTATTCTTCTATGTTTCCTCCTCCGTCCGCACGACTCCAGAGTTTACAACATCGAAAACAGAAGCTTTCAGAAACTTTGCTGGAGTTGTTTAATTTTGAAAATTTTGAAACTTCTGCTGTTGTTTTATTCTGAAAACTCTGGGGTTGCGTTTTATTTTGAAAACTTTGGGGTTGTGTTTTATTTTGAAAACTCTGGGATTGTGTTTTATTTTGAAAACTCTGGGGTTGCGTTTTATTCTGAAAACTTTGGGGTTGTGTTTTATTTTGAAAACTCTGGGGTTGTGTTTTAGTTTGAAAACTCTGCGGTTGTGTTGTAGTCTGGACAGAAAGTGAGACCTTTGTAAACGATGAGGTCACACCCACGGTCTCTCCTGATTGGCTGTCATCAGCCTGGACTACCAGTGGTGAATACAACATGATGATGAATGACAGAGTTACTGACCTTGTTGTCTTTGCAGCTGTTGTTCACTTACATTCTCTGTTTTAATGCTACAGCTGCAGAGGAGACAATCTACTTCCTGTTTACACCGGCTTGCACATGCTCAGTGTGGGTGAATACTCAGGTATGTGAGTTTTCAGGTGTGATAGTCTGGACGGAGATTGTTTTAGTTTGAAGATGAAAACTTAGTCGTGTGGACGGAGCCTAAAACAGATCAACTGAATTCAACAGGTTTAAAGAGGAGTCTACAGTCAGCTGCAGCTCACAGTCACAACAGGTGGGTCATCAGACAGTAATGCTCTGTGAAGACTGTGGGATGTGGCTGAAAGCTCTGGAAAAAGACAGTAATGTAGGTAATGGTCTTACATGTAATTTCTACAGTCAGACCTCTGACCTCTGGACCAATCACACTCACAGAATCACACCACTGATGGTCAGCAGAGACTCTTCATCTGTTCTGGAGACAAACACAGAACCTTGAACCTTGAAGTCGTGATGACTGAGAACGACTGAATTCTTTTCTGTGGAGAATTTAATCATGTTTTAATCATCTGACATTAACTGAAACAAAAGCTGCACTTGTTCTCAAGTTAACAAAGTTGTCTCGACCGATCAGGAACAGGTTGGTTTCATTATTCCTATAGTATGAGAGCAGATTGTCCAGTTTTACTGTGACTCAGAGAGGTGATGCGTTCAAGGACCAGCAGGACGTCTCATGTTGGATCAGCTGTTTTTGAGGTCAACAGACATTTGACATTCAGCACTCACAACATTCAGCTAAAGTTGGACAGTAATCACAGCAGAAACAGAGAGAGGACAGGCAGCAGACACATTCAGTCAAACATCCTCTCTTTACAGACGAGTGGAGCAGCTGTTTCGTGTCTGAGGCCGAGGCATGTCGGACCGCCTGACATCTCTTCATGAACACAGACAAAAAAACAGACACGAGCGATCATCTGTTCATATGCAACGCGACAGATTCTTGAAGCACAAAGTTGATCAGTTTACGTTTGAACTGCGGCGTAAGCAGCTGCTTCTTTTTGTAGCGTCGACTAAATGTTGTTGAGCTTGTTCTACAGGGTTATATACGTCTTACTGACTGATGACTGGATACAATGAGGTTTGGATGGTTCCGATGCATCCACACCGCCAGCAGTTTCCTCCAGCTGCTGTAAACAGGCAGCTGTGTGACCGTAGCATTGGTCAGATAAGGGTTAAAAATACTGTGCTTTACAATACGACATCTGGATGAGTCACCTGAACCACAGACTCCTGCTCAGGTGACACAAACCGTCTCCTGGTCAATGGCGTTTTATTAGTCGCAAAAGTCATGCGCTTAAAAACATGTTTGTGTGATGCAAACGCACTGAACAGATCCCAGGGCGGGAAACCTATGTCGCAAAGGAGCGATCTCTGCTCAGCGAGCCACAGTACATGAGAGGCTTCTTCTCCTCCTTTGTCTCTTCCTTCTCCTTCTTCTTCTTCTCCCTATCCTCCTTTGCGACTGTTGAAACATTGCGCTCATCACAGCTCCATGCTCTCGATGGACAGTGCGCTCGCAGTTTTTATATGCTTTTAGTTTTAAGACTAATTAAACACCACACTGGTCAAAATCAAGACCTGCACAATGTGTCCAGGTGATAGACTCCACCAAGACGACATGAAGGTTTCATCAGTCAATCTCTGCAGCTAACCTGTGTCCCATTCTGAGGCCGTCTCCTTCAGAGGACATTGTCCACAAAGACACGAGGTCAGTCAGTCTGAGGGTGAAGTTCAACCGTGTTCATTTTCTATAGGACGCAAGTAGAACACCTGTCAGGGGTTTGGGGACAACAGGTGATCCAGATGTTTAGGTCTTCACCAGGTGAGGACAGTGGAGGACATGATCCTCGTCTCTAAGACCACAATAAAACTTGACACAAAGGTTTGCAAGTTGTTGTAAATGTTGTGGTTATTGACACAAAGCAGAGACAGAGACATCAGCTGTGTCTCAGTTCAGAGTCTCCTTTGTTACATGGTCCAACCTATCCCAAGATTCATTGCACAGCAGTGACGAGTCATTCTTCAAAAAGAGAAGAAGACTCCACAAATAAAACAGCAGCTGAGGTTGAACAGGAAATCCTGTTTGGAGGCCATGCCTTCGTAGACCACATCCTTTGAAGGAAAGGGTCCCTGAACTGGGACACAGCTAATGTGTGATAGGATAGAAAAGAGCGGGAACGATTATAAAATATAAAAAGACTAAGAAATCAGTGAAACAGTGAGCTGCAGGTTCGTGGTCAGCTGATTCACCACGAGAACAGATCAGACATCGACTGACCCACGACTGAACCCTGTCTGACTGAAATCATCCTTTATCATTTTACAGTGTGAAGACTCAGTGGCCTCCTCCCCCCACCTCAGATGTCGGACCTGGAGTCCTCCGACTAGAAGCAGGATGGACCATGTTTGTCTGAGACTTGGTCTTTGTGGACTCTGTAGGAGGTGGCCTCCTGAAAATGGACACAGCTCATGTTCATACCTTCTCCAGGAGCTACAACCCAACGACAATCGTCAGCTGATGAGTCGAGGCCGAAGACAAATTACTTCTGTTGCCACATTCAAGCTAACAACACAATAAGTTGACGTCTGTGTTCAGCTACATCTCCTAACATGGCTGCCAGCTGATCTAGACTACGTCTGCAGAACTTCGCCTCTCCAGGGGCTACAGAAAGTGGATCATCAAAGAGGCAGCTGAGGGTGTGGATGCACAGTCACTATCCAGAGGTGCTACGTTGGCCTGCTCAGGCCATGTAGTGGCCCCCGTCGGGTCCACGAGGTGGTCGTTTGGTGCTTTCATTGGCGTTGGAGGCTGGGGGGGCGCCACGGGGTTTGGAGGTGGGTTTCTTCTCCCTCGAGGACGGTCGCGTCTGACCCAGAGACGACGTCCCAACGGCTGCAGTCTGAAGACTCCCACCAGGCTCCACGATAGTGTTTATTACTATGGCAAGAACAAGAGGACAATTATCAACCCACCTCTAGTGAAGTTTCAGATTTTATAAAACAACACATCCCAGAAGTGATTAGCCTAGCTTAGCACAAAGACTGGAAGCAAGGGGAAACGGTTAGCCTCGCCTAGCCCCACTGTGGATCTGTCTCTGGTCGCTCTGTTGCAGCTGTTCGGTGGTTTGGGTGGTTTGGGTTTCTCCCACAGAACAGGTTTAAATCAAAGTCTCTTAATTTGAAGGTGTTCTGATCTGGATCCGACCCACCAGCAGGAGAACTCACCTTCTTCCTGCGTTTACTTTCCTGCTCCAGACAATCTAACCAATCAGAGGGAGGGAACGTCCTCACCTGGTTTGTAATGATGCATTTTGGTTCACATGAATTTTTCTCTGTGTGAAAACAAACCGAATCTACAAGTTTACAACCTCATCACCTGAATCGGACCAGAGCAAACAGACTGTAGGTGAGTTCTTCACCCTTCGACCTCCCTGCAAATCACGTTAATTACTGTTCTGCACCATATTGTCTGTAGTCTGCTTGTTTCACACAGAAAATATTAAAACTTTATTGAAATGCTGAAAACAAATCCTGTGCACCTGTCACTGGCTCAGGAAAAGAAAAGAGGAAAAGAGTGGGCCTCTCTACAAATACCTGGGATTGGATGTTTTATCGTGTTGTGCTGTTTTTATGGTAACTGTCCAATCACACATGTTTCAGGACGTGTTCATTAACACTAGCAGGATGAAATCTGCTGTTACCTTCCAGTTGCCTCTGGACTCTCCTCAGCTCTTTCAAAATGGAGGTAATTTCCTGCGACACAAACATAGAACAGAAGGTTCCAGCAGCGCTCACATGAAAACTGAGAGTTACTAAGAACAATTGCTGAGTCCGAGAGGAACCTTGTTCGAGGTTTTCAGGATGGGGACTTCGTTCTCAGCGTTGATCTTTGCCTCAATCTCCTCCCAGACCTCGGCCTTGTTCTGGAACAGAACCCTGAGAGAAACATGAGGTTAGCATGAAGATGGAACATGGCAGCTGTAACGGGTCCAAACAGTGTCTGATACAGACCTGAACCCGGAGCAACCGGACCCACACACGAACTGACCCAAAGAAACCTGTACCTGGTGCTGACACATTAGCTTTGTTGAGCTGAATGAGCCTCAACTGAAATAATTTTGTCCTGATTATTGACGATGAACAGAAACACCACAGAGTCATCAAGGGTCTCCTTACTTCATTTTCTCAGCCAGCTGCTCCGTGTTCTCCCGGATGGCCTGAGACAGCTGAGACACCGGATTCAGCATCAGGTTATCCAGAATCACCTGAACAAGACAGAGGAGGGGGCGTGATGACCTCAGAGGTCTGTGACATCACATCAACACTGACACCATCACTTCCTGTTTCCCAGCACACCAAAACTAACTGCAACAGCTGCAGTGAAGTCAACTTTCATAGATCTGTGGCTACGTTCACGCTGCAGGTTTTCAGGTGCAGAACTTTTATTTGTTTTATTGTTGTTCCTTTTACCTGGTGAAGGGCGGGGCCTAAGTATGGCTAAGTCAGCACAGACACAGATGTTTGAATCATGGCTTCAGTCTCTGATGAAGTTCAATGAAACAGTCACTGGGAAACTGACTGGAGACAAGCTAGCCCGCTGGGAACATGCTAACACTAGCCAGCTGGGAACATGCTAACACTAGCCCGCTGGGAACATGCTAACACTAGCCAGCTGGGAACATGCTAACACTAGCCCGCTGGGAACATGGTAACACTAGCCCGCTGGGAACATGCTAACACTAGCCAGCTGGGAACATGCTAACACTTGCACATCATTGAGCTAGCATTCTAAATGTCAGGGTATGTATTACTGCAGCGGATCAAGTAAGATGCTAAAATGATTATTGATTACTGAGTAATGATAATAATAATAGTGATGTAATAATGTTAAATAATTCTTAAACTGTCACCCTTCTGTTCCCCTCTGTCTATGCGGGTTCCCTCTGGGTTCTCCATTTGTGGGTTCCCTCTGGGTTCTCCAGCTTCCTCCCACAGTCCAAAGACCTGCAGATTAACTGGCCATAGGTGTGACTGGTTGTTTGTCTCTAAGTGTCAGCCCTGTGATCCAGGTGTACCCGCCTCTCACCCAATGTCAGCTGGGATTGGCTCCACCGCCCTGCGACCCTCAAAAGATCAGTGGGACGCCTAAGTAATAATCTGTTATTCAGTGAAACAGACAGTTTGAAGATTGAAACTTGTCGTAGTTTCAGAGATTTACAGATAAAGTATTGAATAAATGGTTCAGAATCTAAGTCTGTTCACAAAATATCCTTTGTCACATTAAACGTCATACTGAGCTGCAGTGTGAACGTAGCCTCAGTGGGTTTAGACAGTGACCTCTTCGCGGTTCCACGGACGGCGCTGCTTAGAACCGGGCTCCGGCTCATTCATGTTTGCGTCCAGGTCCGAGACGGCAGCAGAACCTGGAGGAACCTTCTGGTAGTTTAAACTGGCCTCGGGGATATGTTGGACCAGCTGGAAAGAGAGCAGAGGGAGTCTGGCTCTGGTGATCTGACCTCTGAATATTGGTTATCAGACCAGCAAGCCGCTGGCCGGTGATGGTGGTGCTCCGTGAACACATGCACCAAGTCAACATGCAGCTGCGATGGTGGAGGCCAACAGTGTATGCAGTGAATTTTAGTTCTGCTGGGATACAGCAAATAAACATCAGGGAGACGTGGGAGTGCAGGAGGATCCTACTGGTCACCAGCTACAGCTCCATGAACTGTCCCACAAACAGTAAAACTAGTTCATTAATGGAAGTGTTAACAACAAAACCACTGAGTGGGCACAGAACAAACCAGTCTGACAATCCAGATCTCAGGACCAGGCACAAGTCTGAAAGGTAAAGGTCGGGTAGAGTTCAGTAGAGCAGGTTAGAGCTGGATCAGGTAGGGTTAGGGTTTGGGGTGGCTGTGGCTCAGGAGGTAGGGCGGGTCGTCCACTAATTAGGTCAGTGGTTCGATCCCCGGCTCCTCCAGTCTGCAGGTCAGAGTAAGATACTGCACTTTGCCCCTGATTGTTGTTCCATCAGTGTATGAATGTGTGAGTGAATGGGTGAATGTGGCAAGTATTGTTAAGTGCTTTGAGTGGTCAGTAAGACTAGAAAAGTGCTATATAAGTATAAGTCCATTTACATCAGGTAGAGGGTCGTCTAGGATCGAACTGGGTCAGGACATGCAGGGGAGAGTTGAGCAGAGTGGGGCGGGGTTAAACTGGGTCAGGTCCAGTCCATTCAGGTAAAATAGAAGAGAGCTCGTCAGGAAGGTTGTGTCAGGTAAAGTTCAATAGATTTAGTTTGGGTTGACATTGGTCAGGTACAGTCGAATAGAGCTAAGGCAGGTTCAGGTCGGGCTGGGTTCTGGTGCACCTGTCTGAAGCAGCATTTAATTCCTGGTCCTTTCAGACAAATACCAGTCAGTCAAACCAACAAACCTTAAAAGCACTGAGGGCAGGTTCTGATGTTGGTCCACTTGGTTGTAATGTTGGTCCACCTGGTTCTAATGTTGGTTCTTATGTTGGTCCACCTGTTCATCACCTGACAACCAGCAGTTGACCCCCGTTGAAACTTGTTTTGTGCCGACTCAGTGGTTGTGTTGTTAACGGTCTTCCGTACCAGACCACTCAATCAGACAAAGATCTAATGTGCTTCACAACAATCCAACACCAGTGAGAGGTGAGTGTTAGGATCAGCGATGGGAGGGGTGGGATGGTGGTGGAGGAGAACCACAGTGCAGGAGTTGTGATGAGTCAGAGTTAGACACCTGAGATGGTCGAACCCCACGTAAGTATGGGTAAGATGGCGTCTGTGCAGCAGGACAGAAAAATGAATCATGAGAATCCAAAGCATGATGAAGGTTCCTGTCAATCAACCTGAAGGTCAAACAGGACGTTTGCTCTCGGCTCAGTCTGAAGAACCGACAGAGACACAACTATAGAAACTGTTTCTCATTTAAACTGGGAACACACTGGAACAACAAGGTAACAACCATTGACTATCCCACATTTAAATCAACAGATCATTGGTACACTGACATCTGGTGATCATGTAGTGTGCTCCCAGTTTTACAGGCTGTGGTATGTGTCGTGGGTGTGGTGAGATGGGGGATGTTTGGCGGTTCGTGGCCCACCTCCTCCCTGGCGGAGATGGTGGAGGCCGGCGTGTTGGGCAGAGAGCTGGGTGAGGTGGTGGTGCCCATGCTGGAGCTCAGCGAGTCTCCATCCCCGGCGACGTCGTGGATTTCCTTGGCCAGGATGGCCAGGTCTTTGGCCAGGTCCTGACTGAGCCTGGAAACACACACAGAGGTCAACATGGAGGTTTGACTGACCTGCTCTCAGTTTTGATTCTACATGTCTCATCATCTTTTTACTTGGCGATCTCTGCGCTGTGCGTGGACCAGTTCTGGTAGGGGTCAACCTCGTTCTGGTCTTCATCCTCCTCCGTCTCCAGGGACACAGATTTGGATCTAGCAGCAGCCGTCCGGTGGCCGCGGGGAGTCTGTGTGGAGGTGGAGGGATGGGAGGAGCGTTTGGCTTTAGGAGTACCGGCAGTGGTTTCATATTCTTCCTCCGAGGAAGAGGAGAAGTCTGAGCCCTTCTGTCTGCGACGGGAACCTGAAAATACGTAATGTATTATTTCACCAGCTGGTCAATCATCAGGACAAACAACGAGACACTGAGCTGAAGAACATCAGACTGCAAAACAAGTTCAGAGAGGTCAACTACTATTCCCAGAAAGCACTGCTGCGAGAGACATCCAATCAGAGAGCTTCACACTCTGTTGCCATGCCTCCATAGCAACAGCTGCTGAGACTTTACTACAATGAATGCACCACCTCCTGATATTACTTGGAATTTGTCAGGATATGGATTTACACACCGAGGCACAGTCACGTCCTGATTCCAGACATGACTGAGACGAGAGAACCTGATGCTGTGTGTTTCCGTGGCAACACCAGCAGACTCCATGGGACCAGATGTTTCCTACAGAATACCAGAACAAGTCCTGAAGGTCTCAGTGAATCTCTCCTGTGTTTAAAACTCCAATCAGCTGTTGAGCTGTTACCGTGGTAACATGTCACAGCAGTGAGTATCAGTCTGATCAGTTTTCTGCTTCTGCTAAGATCTAACTTTTAACTTTGGCTTCTTTTGTTCAAAGGAAAAAGGTTTTGTAGAAAAAGGTTCAGTCCACCCAAAACACAAAAATTGAATATATTTACATATATTGAATTTCCAAATATGAAATATAAATTTTTATTTTATACAACATATATTTAAAAATTATATATGAAACCTGTTAGAACCTATATTGTATATACCTATATTGACATATATATCTAGCCTGTAGAAATATATGCATTTATGTATGTATGTTTATAATGTAGACAGATGTTACATAAATATATATCCACCCACAGCCTGTTAATATATGTAGATATTATAATCGTCCAAAAGTCTGAGATTAATACAAATTTTACTGTGTATTTCATATATGTTATATAACTTATATCTCCATATATTCAGAGGATTTATATATGTATATATCCCCATTACATTTCTGTATAGGAAATCGGTGACGTCACAGTCGTATCGTCTGACACACAATGACAAGAGAGGTCGTCGAGCTACATGAACCTGGATCAGCTGATCTCAGGAGTAGCTCCTCTCTGATCAGCTGGGAAACGACAGTGATGAATCCCAATGAGTTGGTCCACATTAACCCACAATGCTGCAGGTGTGTGATGCAGTATCATGTTGGTGTGTGCACCCAAACTTATAACTTAAAGTTATCAGCAATGACATGGACTGATACGAGTGAAGTGACACAGTACTGAGCCTGAACATTTACCTCAACCTCATCATCATCAAGTTTGTTAATTTTAAAATCTGCATCACTAAATCAAAAGGACAGTGATCAGACCAGAGTATCTTTGTCTTTGTGCGAGTTTGAAATGTTACAGTTCTGTGGTTAAAAATGACCAGTCAGTTAAAACATGCAGCAAATCCTCGTAGAAATGCACAAGAGCACACGATTCAACAAGGAGACCTTGAGACCAGACTGGGTAGCAGCAGAGTTGACCTCTATTCCTCATCTGAGATCATCACAACTTACTTGGTCCAGATGTTGAGGAGGTTCAAATCCTCAATACGCAGACAATCTGGTAACCACAACAGGATTATGTATTCATGAAAACACAAATAGTCAGGACTCACCAGTGCTGGGGTACTTGGCTCCACTGGACCGGGTACGGGTCAGTGGTTGCTTCCCCGAAGCTCCGCCCCCTTTGCTAGCTGCCTGCCGGGCGTCGCCCACCGATGTCTTCCTGGTGGTGGCAACGGACTCGGAGTTCCGATTGGAAAACCCGGACCGACCTGTGGAGGATGTCTCGTTGTCACTGGGAGCTGTGAAGGAGCCGGTCCTCTTCCTTGGCATCGCTAAAATATCCAGCCTGGACAGCTTCTTCCCCTCGGCGGACACTTTGGCCGGTGTAGTGATATTGTCAGAATTCTGGGATGCCCGGTCAGTCTCAGCACCTTCATTGTCTGAGGCCTCGCCCAGTCGTGCTCGACGAAGCATGGATGCTCGGGTTGGCCGTGGTGCTGACAGACTGTTGGAACGTGTCAGGACCTGCTGAGTCGCTGTCTTGGGCATCTTTCCGTTGTCTTCTTTCTGAAGGGGGGTGATCAGTTTCTTGCCGCGGCTGGATGGACGGGAAGTTTCATGGTCAGATGATGTAGTTTCAGTCCAGTGTGGACCAGAACCCTGCTGGCCCTCAGACAGATCCAGAGAACCACGGTTCCCTGCGCTGCGGCGCATCTGGAAGCGCTTCGCTGCCTCTGCCTTACTTGATGTATCAGCAGTCGCCTGGCTTCGGCGTTTCTCAGACAGCCGTTCGCGGGCGGTGAGCTGCCGTCCTTTCTCTTGGATGGACGGGCTGGAGGAGGACTTCTCCTTCTGAAGGCTGCTGATTGTGGGACGCTTTTTAGAGGCAGAGCTCACTGGAGCATTTTTGCTACTCACTTGGCTCACAGTGCTTGCTGTGTCCACATCTGACTCTCCAGATAGGGAGTCGTCCACGTGGCTGGAGGAGCCCCCTTTCTTAGAGCTGCGACCTGAACCAGACGAGGGGAACTTGGTATCCAGAGAGGACAGAGTTCCCTCGGCCTCCTGAAGGAAGGACTGCGTGTCTTGGATGTTCTCCCTCCTCTGCTCCAGGTCTCTGATGGACGGGTGGCTGGAGATGTGGGGAAGTTTCTTCATCTGGACAGTGTCACTGGGCTGGTCTTTGGTGAAGCTCTCCTGCCGGACAAACGATGACATGCAGCCATCTTTAGTTGGGACAGAGTCCTTGTCCTGTGCTTGGAGGTTTGGAGCGGAGCTGTTGGGTTTCACACCTGTCCTCCTGGGTTCATGTCCACTCAGGTGTCGGATCAAGACTGTGGTAGGCGGAGTTTTTGCCGGGGGTTCTTGTGTCCTCTCAGGCTGTAACAGGCTTTGAGCCTGGTCAGATTTGCCTGGATGGTCTTCAGAACCGATGTAGAAGGAGGTGGATTTGGTGGATGGAGACACCTTCTCCTGACCTTTAAACTGAGAACCAGGGACACCTGGTGACATGGCTCCGGTCCTGGCCTGATTCGTCTTTGTTTTCTCTAAAACAGGTCCATCATCTGAGCGGCTGGCATCACTCAGGCTGTCTGGGTCCACGTCATCCTGAACAGAAAGGCGCTGGGTGGAATCCTGTGGGCGTGGAGGACCAGAGACTCTGTCCAGAGGTTCCTGGCTTTGGTAAGATTCATGGCGAATCAGGATACTCGGGGCGACACTATCCAGCTTGTCTGGAGGCACCTGGGGCAGCAGCCGTCTCGTCCTGGAGCTGTGGCTGGACTCGGACTCAGAGTTGTCGTAACTGTAACTTCCCATCGAGCGGCTCATGAAGCGCAAATCTACAAAAACAATTAGTCACATTGCTCAACTTTTCAGATCAGTGTGTTCTACTGTCTATTTGTTTTTCTATAATGAACACTTCAGGTTCTGACGCTTGATTTTTCTACCCTCAACCTACGATCAGTCCACATGATCTGCTCTCTGTTGAGACCAGGTCAGCAATCTGAGAATGTATTTTTAATATTATAGTACTGGATCTGCCAGACCATATCTGGAGGTCCAACCACAGTGCAGGAAAAACTGAGACGACAAGAACACTTCTCATTACCTTGGGGTAACAGCAGATCATGATCCAGGTACAGATCTCAGGTTAAAACAGGTCAATAGTCTAAGGTATGATACTCATCCCTTCACTGATCACATTCATGTTGTTTTCTAACAAAAGGCTCAAACAGAAGTTTCACAGCACCTTCTAGACATTCCCCTTGAGGTGGAGTGGAACCAGATTCAGCATAGCTGTCTGCCAGACTGGCCCAACGGGAAACCCACTTGGGTCCTTCCAGACCTGCTGCATGAGCAGCTGGAACCTGGGAAGCAGAAGGTGATGAACAACATTACCAGACAATAGAAATGTTGAACCATAGTCCAACAGGACATGTAACAGGAGAAACTGAGGGAACACCAGTCTGCATGCACTGGGATCAGAACATGCTACACAGATGTTTTTCCAGGTTCTGGTTCAGTTTTCCGGTGGTTTTTACCTGTATGGGGCCTGTTGGGGGGCCGCTGATAGCAGCTGGGATAAAGCCATGCAACGGGTCCACAGTGCTACCATCACTAGGCAGGTTAGCTTGCTCATCCTTGCCATCATTTATTACAGGTCTATAGACTCCTGTGTTCACACCACTGTACTCTGGAGAGTCGAGGACACCAAACACCTGTCAGAGCACAGGGCATGCATGAGGAGGGGGGGCAGGACCACGGCAACAGGAAGGAGCAAGAAGGACAAAAGGTTTCATGCATCTCTAAAGCAAATTAAAATATTATGTTTATATCAACACGTCTCACATGAAGACCGCGGCAGTTCTGAGGGTCCAGGATCTGTGTTTAGATCAATGTTACTGTGGACCGCCCAGCTTGGGGAAGGTGGTGATGGTGGTGGTGGGTGGGGGATGGGGGGTGTGGGCAACACACTTGATAACACTATAGCTTTATATCTAACTCTGTACGTGGTTGTTCGTTCACCAGCAGCAGCAGTAACAAGAACTAAAGGTTTCCTCATTTTTTAAATAAACCATCTGATGTCAAACCAACCTGGGCCAGTTTTTAATGACCCAGGAAGTTTTACACATAGATTTTCTCCACCAACTGTGGGAACCATGAATGTTACTTCACTAAAACCACTCAGGGTCTTTAGGGTCACCGTGAGTTCACCTGATCGATCATGTTGCGAGCCTCCTCCACCTCTTTGTCCTGCGACTCCGTCTCAATGGTGTAGGTCCCGGCGTCACTCAGACTGTCGTCCTCCTCATTCCTCACCGTCCTCTGGGAACCTTTCATGTCTCCTGCTCGGACGCCCAGAGGCAGCATGGAGGACGAGTGAGGTCCAGAGGAGTGGGCCGGAGAGGAGGTCTGTCCGGCATTGGTGGGGATGGAGGACTTTGAGATTGCTGGAGGCTGTAAGGGTGAGGATGGGTAGGAGACTGAAGACAGTGCTGGGGGTTCTTGTGGGGAAGGAATCCTTGCATGAGCAGGCGACACCATCACCGGTGGCGCAGACATTGGTGGAGGTGACATCTTGTCCCTGGTTGGGGAGGAATCCTGTTGACTCGAATCCTTCAGGAATTCAGCTGCAAACTCCTGGGCGAGTTTGGACTTCTTCCCGACGCTGCCGAAGGGCCTGATGATGATGCCCGAGGACGAGCGAGAGGAGGAACTTAACGAGGCCGCCTCCCCCTCTGTCTTCTCCCTCTTCAGAGAGCTTGATCTCTGGGGTCCACCGTGGCTCTGTCCTTTCAGAGGGACCGTCACCTGCTGGGTGGGAGGGATGTGGCCGTGCACGGACGCCGGCCTCTCGCCGCCTTTCCGCCGCTCCAGCTTGGCCTTCAGGGCTGAGTACGAGTCAGCATGGGCGGGGTTGTGGGTGAAGGACTGTGAACGCTTTTTACGCGGGTTGTCGTCGAAGAACTCGATGATGAAGGCCTGCTGGGTGAGGTGCTCCGGGGGCCCCTGCTTGGGCGTCTCTATAGTGGGAGATGGAGCCTGAGGAGGGCTCTGGGACAGGGGCCGCTCAGGGGCCACAGGTGAGGGTGGGGCTGGTCTGGGCGGAGAGTACTGCAGCGGCTGGTGGAGTTTCTGTGTCGGGGCAGGTGGCTGACAGTGGACAGATTGACCTGACTGGACGGTCTGCTGGGACGCCTCTGACTGCTCTGATTGGATGGAGTGGTGAGAGTGGACTGAGTGGTGGGATTTACTCCTCCCTTTAAGAACCGGGTCCTCGGAGTCACTCTGGGTTCCATCCTCATGATGGTGACCTGACAACAAGAGATACAACCATTGATCAATATGTTATCAATATGTTTGATATGAACAACAGGCATCATCATCAGACCTGATGATCCCACTGAGAATCAACAGACCAGTCTTCAGCTTTCAACTCCACCCCGATTTAAATTTAGTGACAGCTGACGACCAGTTTTACAGCTGCTTCGAACCAGTAACTCAATCTGACTGAAGTCCATGATAAATGTGTTTCTACCAGGAGTGGAGCTGAACATAAGTTTGTCCTGACGGGGGCACTAGAGGAAACATCATGGAGTCATTCAGATCTAAAGGGTTCATCTTGTGGAGAGCAGGAACGAGATCAGAAACTGTGATAGAAATCTGACTGAATGTTTTGACCTGATGACGGAGGAGAGCGGGGCTAAGGTTCATCCTCTGAGGATTAGAAACATCTAAGTGTGTCCCAGTGGAGTTGAGATAAGGTGCCTGTGGTTCCCACAGGTTCTCATCCCCAACTCGTCACAAACGCTGGGTCAGGACCCTTTCTGACCCTTAAGGTTTAATTTGTCCTTAGCTGGGGGAGTTACTTAAGGGTGTTGCACAGAAACTCTTAAAAGGTTTCCTTTGTTAAGGAAAAACATTAAGTTATTTTCAGCAGTGAAAGAGATTTTGCAGCAATTAAATTCTACTGCGTCGTTAAGGGTGTCTCCTGGTCGCAGAACATCATCATAAACTTGGTCATGTTACAGTTTAGTTTCTTTTCTTACTTTGTTTTCTAAGGTCTTTTTCGCAACGGTTTAAGTGACTTTGAGTGACTCCTTAAGTATAAGACTAAGCAAGGAGAAAACCTTAAATTTTAAGGAAACCTTCAAGAGATCACTTAAGTGTTGTTTCGGGTTTTTATTTTAAGGAAACCTTAACTCAGACTTTAAGGAAAGTCTTAACTTAAGGTGTTTTGTGACCTGTTGAGCATCTAAACCAGAACCCGTCAGCTGACTGTACTGCAGTTCTACAGCAGAGAACACTGGACATCTAACGGGTCCTGACCAAATGTCGGTACTTGACGAGTTAGGGGCAGGACTCATCTGTCAGAACCAAACCTGTGGACAGACAGACTCCATCATGAGGTCCCAGAACCAACAGACACCAGACTAGACCTAAGTGAACCTAAGTGGACCTGGGTTATGTCTGCAGCGTGATGCTGACACTAAGTGGACTCTGACCTTTGAGGGTCTTGATGTTCATGGCAAGGTCGCTCTTGGTGCTGTAAACGTCTTCACACGTCGGACGTCTCCTCATCATGCTGACATCACTGTGCACCAGCCAATCAGCCACCTTGCTCTCTGCCGACATCACCTCTGCAGGTGTGGCCGTGATGGTCGTCTTAGATGGTGGAGCCTGCTGCTGTTTCCTCTGGCGGGTGGAGAACTTGGTGACGTGATCTTTGATCTTGATCTTACCGGGCATGCAGTCGTCAAACTCGATGGTGAAGGAGGCGTGGCTCTGAACAACGGGCGGGGTCGAGGTGGGCGGAGTCGGGGCGGTGTCAGTGTCCTTGGTGGGGATCTCGTGGAGCTCCGTCCCCGAGGTTTTGGGGTGCTGGAAGTCCTTGGTGGGGATCTCAAAGTAGCTGGGTTCACGGTGGTATGAGGGGAAGATGGTCTTTGGTTGGGGGTCTGACACGGATCCGGGAAAGTCCGGGTCCACAGACGGAGCGTCTTTGTGACCGTCTGAGGAAACACAGACATTAGTGATGGATGTACACATGGTCTGGACCAATGAGAGGTCATTATATCATGTAATGGTTTTATTACTTCAAAATAAGAGCTGTCAGTAAATGATCAACACAAAACAAGAATCTAAATATTGAACTTCCCATCTGACGTCACTCGGGCTGTTTGAATATTATGATCATATAATCTCAACTTTAACGAGCTCGTCACATTTTTGTTTTTTTACCTGGATGTGGCTCATCGCTGGTCTGAACTTTACTCCCATAATCCTCCTCTCCCCACCAGGACGGCTGACCATACAGAGGAGTGGGCCGACACACCGGAGCCTCTGGAACACAGTGTCACATGATCAGCCTCCATTTTACTTCAAATCAGCATCAGAGACACAAACACAAAGTTCATTCATCTTCTCATGACAAACAGCTTTGAACAGAGACCTCACAACGTCCCACAGTAACCTCGCACAGGAAACCTCAACCTGTCAAAATAAACGTATGACCATGTTTAAAGTATTATTTTTTGGTTAGGAATCAAACTGACCTGCAGGGGGCGACAGTTACATACCTCTCTGCTTGTTGCTTTATTGGTAGTATTATTTGTAGTAATATTTGTTGTATTTTTTGTAGTATTTGCAGTAATATTTGTAGTACCTTGTGTCAGGCTCTTGCTCTGACTCTTCTCCGCTCTGCTTCGATCTTCCAGCTCTGTCTTCTTCTCTGAAACCTTCAGGCTCATCTGCAGCTGACTGCTGTACTTCTCATGCTGCAACACACACACACACACACACACACACACACACACACACACACACACATACATCTTCGTGGTGTTTTTTTACCCTCATAAAAAAGTAGCATTATCTCAGTGACAGGTCGCGTTGCTATGGTTACAGCTCTTACAGTGTTGTTGTTTCCTTCTGGCTGCTGAAGAGAAGTGGTGATGATGTCACAAGTACCACAGCCAATCACTGCTGACCACAGCTTTAACATTAGACACACACACACACACACACACACTGACCTTCAGCGCTTCCTCTGGGACTTTGTGTTGACTCTTCTCCAGAACGTAGACATGAGAATGTGGAGAGAAGGTTAAGAACAACAGTGACATCATCGAAAACACACGCCACTACAGTAACACACACACACACACACACACACACACACACACACACACACACACACACACACACACACACAGAAGGATATCGTATCCAAAGCGGATGATGTCCGACAGTTTGAGGGTGATGTAGGTCTGATCAGGAATCCTCAGGTCGTTCACAAACGTCTGAAGAACAATGAAAACAACAACAACAACAACAACAACGTAAATGTCAGGTTCATTCATTCGTTTTAACTGAAGCTAAAATGCACGAAAGCCCAGGCGTTCTAGAAAAAGAATAAAAACAAACTAAAGAATTATGATTTTTTTTAAAGTCAAAACCATGACTGTTGACATGTTGACATGTTTGTGTGGTGGTGTTTGTCACTTTGTTGTGTCATGTTGTTTGTTTGTTATGTCGGGTTGTTTGTTTGTTGTATAGCAGTTCCTGTCTCACCCCGTTCAGGCTGCCCAGGTCTTTGACCAGGTGTTCATCAGTAGTTGGGTTGTAGTTGATGACAGCATGTTGTTTGTCCACGCTGCGGGACTGAGGACACAGAGGAGAACCAGAGCAGATGTCATCATCAGAAACACTTTAAAACATTAAGATTCATACAAATATTTAATTTACAAAAAACAGTTCAGGAGAAAACTGAACAAGAATCAAACATGAAATATATTTTTTTCATCTTCAGGGTCCAAAAAATAAAAGGAAACACACATTCAAACTCCAGACTCTTAATGTGAAAATGCTGTCTACAGACCAGCTCACCTGTCTACAGACGTCTCACCTGCAGCATGAGCTCACAGTCCTCTCGGCCCACAAAGATCATCTCTTTTGGGAGGCGGTGTCGAGTGCCTGAGCTGCTCACCAGGAACCATGATGTCACACTCATCTTAACAGACCTGCTGGGAAACCACAGAGCATCCTGGGAAATGGAGGCCAGACAGAGAGTGAGGGAAGAACACAATCAATGATCCTGTGCACCAGGAACTCTTCACCATTAACTTTTTACTATGATCTGTTCACTATGAACTATCCTCTTCCTGACTCAGCTCTTCTTCCTTTAACTGAAGAGCTGCAGCAACTGATCAATTATTGATTGACAGATCATGAAGTATTTTGATACTCATTAAATAGTTTCTATCATTTTTTAAAGGAAAAAACCAAACAGCTTCTCAGCAGTGAAGATTTACTGTCCTCGGTCCTATTGATGGATAATTGATCATTTTATTGATTTTACATTGTTGATCAGAAAATAAAAGATCTTTGAAGACTTCAACTTTTCTGTAACAGACATTTTATTGAGCAAATGATTCAGAGACAATAATTTACTGATTAATCAATGATGAAAATAATTATTAGCTTCAGTCCTGCTTTTAACCTGCTGGTTTTAATCTAGTCTGATCTGGACCTGGACCTGGACCTGGACTTGGACCTGGACTTGGACCTGGACTTGGACTCAGATTTGTGGATTAATTTCAGGTTTCAGTTGTTAGGCAGAAAGTAAAACTGTAAAACTGCAGATCAGTGGATGCACAGACAATCAATCAGGAATTATTTTGTTAATTGAGGAGTTCAGTGACTCAGTCTCCATGGAGACGCAGTGACAGGTGTTTCTAATCAATAATAATCAGCAGGTTAAATTAATATCATCTGTAACTGCAGCTCTGTTTTTTAATTATTTCAGTTTTATCCTCTCGATGTTTCCTGTTTTCTGTCCTGATGGACACACAGCAGAGACACAGGTGAGACAGGTCACTGATGACGGATCACGTCACGTGACCGATGACTGCAGCCTCTTTTACCTGACTGCTGTCCCTGCACGTGTCCTTGGGGCGGGTCAACCTGTTCACCTCTATGACATCATCATCATCACCATCACCATCAATAAAATGCTTCAGCCCAGCTCACCTGAACCGAGCCACACCCATGACACACACGCACACACACAGGATGCTGGATGAAGTGTAGCGGCTCGTCAGAGATATCCCGCCGGGCCTCAGCGCCTCATCCGCGGCTGCAGGCCGGACAAGAGGAGCCTCTCCGCCCTGAAGCCGCGGAGAGGCTCCGGTAACGGAGAAGACAGACAAACAGACAGACAGACAGACGGACAGACGGACAGACGGACAGACCGGTCCCGCTCCCCTCCTCCACGCCCTGCCCCCCTCCCCCTCCTGCAGCTCTTACCTCTGCTCCAGATGCTGCCGCCGCTCCGCCGCTGTTCTCCGCCGATTAAAACCCGGACTGACGCGCTGCGAGGCGGACAAAGCATGAGAGGCGTCCCGGAGCGGAGCGGAGCCGGTCCGGACGGGTTCAGACCGTATCGGACCAAGACTAGATGAAATCCTCCCGGTGATGCTGCTATGGCATCTCTCTCTGACCGTCTCCTCCTGACGCACCAGCTGCCACCCGCTGCGTCAAGACGCACCGCGTTAACGACCACGACACAGGAAGAGTGCCACCGGAGCCTTCAAAATAAAAGCCTCAGGATAAAATCTGACTGGTCCCAGATGTCTGAATCACTGCACATCTGACAATGTTCTGTTCCTAATAAACCGCGAGACCAGAGAGGTGGCGGGAAACTGGTTCCTGGTGGGGGTGAGGCTACTGTGGACATGAAGCCTTTTGGCCCCTAGGGTCCTGGTCCGTCATCCAGCCTAGACTGAAAAACAGTCTGAGTCTGGAACAGGTCTGGACCAGTGTCTTCAGACCGGTGAGGAGCACGTGGAAACAGAATAAGTCAACACTCAGCTACTATGTGTTTCAACCAGCCCGGTCTCCTCTCACTGTGCACTCTTATTGTGAAGGCATGCTGATTTCCGGTGTCGGTAAATTAACGAATCTTCAGCTGATCATCAAATCAACCTGCTGCAGGTTCACCGTCACTCTCTCTCTCTCTCTCACACACACACACACACACACATACACTCACACACACAATAATCCATGTTGTTATTAATAATAACCTATCTCATATTTCATCCTGTCATGTGAGCTCACGGTCTCATCAGGAGGGGAGGCTCCGGTTTGGGATGACGTCACCTCACTGTTTACATAGAGCAGCACCGTTGAAACGATCAATGATGACAACAACAATAACAACAACAATAATAATAATAATAATAATAATGATAATGAGGGGTCAGGGGTTCTGTTTGAAGTGGTGCAGAGATGTTCCACCCTGAAGTTCCTTCTGTTGGTTCTCTAAACTGTGAGATGTTGTTTCACTGTTCACGTGTCTTTAATGAATGAGACACTGGAGGGCGCTGTCTCTACCTGTATTTCCACCGTGGTAGTTACTGTTGCTGCAGTGAGTCCAGGTTGTCAGGACAACGACCGTTAGGATAAACAGAGGATTAAGGAGCAGCTTAAACACCGACATTAACACTGATTATATACAGTTACACAGGAAGTGGTCATTAGGAGCGCGCGCGCACACACACACACACACACACACACACACACACACACACACTCTTCAGATGCAATACTACTTTTCTGTTACAGAACAAACAGCAGCTGGTTTTATTGTGAAGGGACGATTTCTGTTCAAACAGGAAGGAAACATCTCACTGACATTTTAGTAAAACTCAGTGTTAAACATCTCTCCTGTGGCAACACACAACATCTGACTCCAGCTCTGAGCGTTAACAACATGAAACACATGAAACTCTTCCAGAGCTCTGAATCCTCTGAAACCTTCGAAACAAACTGTTTTAATGTGTTCTCACACCGGGAGGACGGGAGGCTTTGAACTTGAATGGATTACTGGTATGTGCTCAATTCAGCGACTCGTCCTCACTTTGTGTTTCTGTCTGAGGAGATGATGATGATGATGATGATGATGATGATGATGATAACTGGGCTGCTGCTCTTTTTTTATTTCATTATTGTTTAATCTGCTGATTATTTTCTTCTTTAATCTATTGATCACTTAATAATTTTATCATTTCTCAGAGTCGGAGTCAGACATGGGACTGTCTGACATCTGGAACAATGATTTGATTATCAAAATAAGTGTTCACTGATCTTCGAGTGAAATCCAACAACTAAAACCTGAATAAATCCAGGATCCAGATCAAACCAGATTAAGAGCAGCAGGTTTGTGGAGGGTCAGTGGATTAAAGCCGAGTCACTTCAGGAAACAGGTGATAATAATGGTGAAGAATCTCAGGTGACACATACTTTTAACTTTAAACAGAGAAATAAAAGATTTTTCTAAAAACACTAAACCTGTTTTTATTTTTCATGTTTCATGAAGACAGATTCAGTCCTGTTGTCGTGGAGACGAGTCATCCTCTGTCCATCTGGACAGGAAACACAGAAGAAGAAACATCAGTAGGAAACAAAGAATCATCTGAATTACACCCTGAATTCAGACTCTCAGGCTGAGGACTCTCTGGACTAAATTTCACCCTAACCAAAGGGAAGGAGTCTGCAGCTGTGGTGCAGCCTGAGAGACTCAGCTCAGGGCACAGTGTGATACCAGTGTCAGGTTTAGGCTCAGTTGAAGCGACTCACCTCAGTGTGAAACACATCCTTTCTTAGTTTTTGAGTGTTTGGATCCAGAGGGGGTGTCGGCTCCTGCAGGTCAAAGAAGAGCTCTGATTGGTTGGTTTGTAGACACAACTGATCAAACATTGTCCCGCTCATTTCTCTGCTCAGTCTGACGCTTGTACGATAACACTGTGTTTCTGAACAAATAAATACAACCCAGACATTACCTGCTAAACCGGTCCTGGACTTTGCTGGTCTGTCTGGACCAGGATCTGGATCATCGTGGTTGGGTGTTCTGGCCTCTAACGATGTGATCTCCTCAAACTCAGACTCCTCATTCCTGTTTACTTTGTTTAAATCTTGCTTTGTTCCTGGATCCTCTGGTCTGAGCTGGACCTCCTCCTCTCCTGCAGGAGCTCCGACTCTAGTCTCTGAGTCAGGACCAGAGTCCACCTCAGAGTCCTGGAATCTGGTCTGGCTCTGGCCCCCCTCCGTGTCAGCAGCAGGAGGGGAGACGTGTTCAGGGAGGTTTTGGGTCTCTGTGGGGAGGCTGTCAGTCTCTGGTTCTGGTCTCGTTTCTGATGGTGGATCTGTGGGAACCTGGACTGTCTCTGGAGGGCCTGAGGGCTCGTCCACAGCCGCTGACCTCTGTATGACCCCAGGATGATCTGACAACAACACAGTCAAACACAGATTCAGGGACAAAAGGTCAAAGGTCAGAAACTAAACAAGTCCAGCACAGTCCTCACCGTGGATTCTGCCGCCCCTCTCGGCTCGGGGTCTGGTCCTCTTCAGGTTGTAGCCATTCCTGATCTCAGCCAGCAGGTTGTCGATGATGCAGCCGCCGTCCTGGTTGGACACGTCCTTCCTGACTGGAGACGACAAGCGGACATGTTTCAGAACATGGTCTGCAGAGACACAGCTGGACTGTCAGCAGCTGGTCTCTGGACCTACATGAACCTCTCCTGCATCCAGAGTCAGAGACAAGGTGGGGGGGTCTCAGGGACCAAGAGAGTCCACAGTCTCTGTCCTGGTCTAAAGGACCTAAACACAGATGGGGGGACACCTGAGGAACCAGCTGCTCCTCACACTTTTCTGCTGTTGAGTCACAGGACCTGTACCGCTGCAGACTGGATTTAAGGTGGAGGTTTAAGGTGGAATGACAGAGTTGGACTTACTGATCTTGTCATCTCCTCTGTGTCTCCTCTCCTCCTCCTGCTGCTTCCTCCTCCTCTCCTGCTCCCTGCGACTCCCGTTCTCCTGAAAGACATCAGGTCAGAGTGAGAGTCTGAATCTGAGTCCCTGAGTCTGAATCTGAGTCCCTGAGTCTGAGTCTCTGAGTCTGAATCTGAGTCTGAGTCTGAGTCTCTGAGTCTGAGTCTCTGAGTCTGAATCTGAGTCCCTGAGTCTGAGTCTCTGAGTCTGAATCCGAGTCTGAATCTCGGATTCTGAGTCACATTTCTTGGTGATTCATTGATTCAATATTGATTATGATCAATAACACGAGGATATGATCTTGTCACTTCTAGGGTTGTCAAAACTGATACCCTGGAAAATACCTGATACCATTTTTGATACCGCAGGGAGAAAAAATGAAAAATTAAGAGGCATAACATGTTTTTTTGTTAACGTTACAGACGGGCAGGACTGATAACTTTCGCTGCCTAGCTCTCACATTAACGTTAGTCATTTTATTATTAGCCATAGCCGCTAGCTTAATGATAACGTAACAGATGGCCGATGTGGCTATCAGCTAATTGCTAACAGTTAAACGGCTAACGTTAACATGTGTTGCAGGCCAGGTTAACATTTATGATAACTGTTTATTCAATGTCGGTCTTTAAGATGCTTCTCTTAGTTTGTTGTGCTACTCAACTTCGTCGCCACCACTTTGTAGCATTGTTTGCATATAGGCTTATCAATATCCTTCGCCTTTCCCTGGTCATTTGCCGTGTATGCAAAATCATTTCAAACGGCACTTTTGTTTTTTTCATTTTGAACTAAAACAGGTTGCGAAGGTTCTTCAGCAGCAGCACTCGCCATGTTAATTTAGCTTTATGCTGGTTGATAGCGTTCATGTGTTCAGCTGCTAGTGGGGGAGGGGGTGTGTCTCTGCCTGTCTGCAGTGCTGCTGCTGTGTCTCAACTGGAGGAGGCGAAGACAGAACTGTTGTCTCGATGCTGTTGAGAATGAGTATCTGATCTCATACTAATTTTAGTATCTATTTGTATCTGAGTAATGATTTTTTGACAACTCTAGTCACTTCTACATTAAAGCTTTTTCTATGACGTCATGTGGAACTCTGCTCCCTGATTGGCTGTTGACAGTGCTGCGCTGTGATTGGCTGACCTTGACGGCTCGGAGGAACAGTCCTCTGAAGGTCTTGATGGTGTTGAAGAGTTCGTCAAGGGAGAAGTTGCTGCTGTCTTCACACAGGTAGACGGACAGATCTGTCCTCCTGTCCTCCACCGAGGACAACAGCTGCTGCAGCTGCTCACAGGACTGCAGGCTGTCCTGAAGAGACACCACAGAAGAAGAAGACAGCCATTCAGGACAGTAGGGACACTCCAATACCAGACGTAGAACCCCTGATTTGTCTATAACTGTCCTGATGAGCAGGTTACAGACTGTAAATAAACCCTCCTGTAGGGGGCGCAGTCTAGTCTGTACCTGTATGGTGGACAGGTACTGCTCCTTCAGGTCCTCAGATGAAGAGGAAACTCTGCTCTCAGAGTTTTTCAGCTGTTTGATCAGAGTGTTCGCTTCAGACTGAATCGACTCCACGTTAAACCTGCAACAGACAGACTGACCGTTGTTTCCTGTTCCTCAGGTTCAGCTGTCGGTTCCACAGGAACACTGATTTAACACATTTAATTAAAACCACAAAGAATGACAGCTAAGGATCTTAATGTGCAAAGTTTAAAAGAATGTCTCCTGATAGAACCTGTTAGTTTAGAGAACGTCTCCAAACCTTCGGATTTCCTGTCTGAACAGTGTGACTTTGTGTCTTCATCGCTGAGTTTTATGAAAAATCATTTTGTTCTAATCGGTTCTAAAGGCTCCATGACAGTGTCCTATGTGTAGTTGTGGGTTCTTTGTGGGGGAGAACTAACAGAGTTTAATCCGTTATCAGTTTACCCAGCAGCCTTTTCACAGATCTCCAAATCGTCTGGCAGGTTGAGCAGGTCAGGGTGGTTCTCCTCCACCTCCTGTTGATCACACAGAGAACAACAATAGAACCCTCTCATGTGATGAACATCATACAGTGTCATAGTACTGGTTCTGTCCCAGTACAACCAGTCTGGTTCCAGTGTGTTACCTGCAGGATGTGGTGCAGCAGGGTGATTCTGGACTTGTTGGCTTTGGTTTCTGTCAGTTTGAGCAGAGTGCTGATCTTAAAACCCTCAGCGTTCCCTGTGTGAGTCCCCTGATACACACAACACATCACATGATGATGTCACATGACTGATGACGTCATATCTGATTAGATCCAATCAGATTCTTGAACTGTTTTTTAGTGTGAAATGAAACCTGTTGATATAAAGTGTTATCGTCAGACTCAAACACCTGATACAACTCTGCTGTTTAACGTTTCTGCATCTGTTAGACATCTGTTTCACATTTGTTAAACATCTGTTAGACATCTGTTTCACATTTGTTAAACAGCTGTTAGACATCTGTTTCACATTTGTTAAACAGCTGTTAGACATGTGTTAAACATCTGTTTCATTTAAGACTCACATAGTTGAGGAAGTTTCCAACACTCAAGATGAGTTTACAGAAGCTGGGCAGCCGAGTGCTCTCCCTAATACCTGACCACACAACATGACAACATCAACAAAAACAACAACAACAATAACAATAACACAACACAACATTAACAACAGCAACAAAAAACAACAACAACAACAACAATAACACAACATGAAGCAACACAACATTAACAAAAGCAACAAAAAACAACAACAATAACATGAAAAACAACAACACAACAAAACAACAACAACAACAGCAACAACATGAAAAACAACAACAGCAGGGAACAGATAAGCAGAACCAGTGTCAGTATTGTTGTTATTCACAATGCTGGTCTGTGTGTGTTTGTTGTGTATTTGTTGTGTATACACACTCTGACAGGCTCGGTCCAGAACTTCAGCTTTGGGCTTCAGACTCTCCAACACACAGCTGCTCTCCTCACACAGCAACATACACTGAATCCTCAGAGAGTAACTACACACACACACACACACACACACACACACACAGAAACACACTCAGTAAAGGTGAATATAACCGATCACACAGGTGTGTCTCCGGGTGTGTCTGTCCTACCCGGGAACGTCCAGCAGCTGCAGGTAAAACTGGTCCACTGACGCCAACTTGTCCCTGTCTGCTTGGTGAGACTTCAGGTTCTCTATCTGGGGACGGACAGGGGAAACAGGTGAGACACATGATAAATCAAGTCAGGGACAATAGGTTAGAGGTGGGACAACAAAAGGACAGGTAAATTACAGGTGAAACAGTTGATGGACATTTACGACAGAAGATTACAGGCGATGGACAGGTGATAGACAGGTAAAGGACAAGTGATGGACAGGTAATATAATATAATAGTAATAAACATGAAGAACAGATGGAACAGGTACAGTAAATGGCAGTTGGGGTAAGAAAATGTACAGGTGAGACACGGGAAATAGGTGAAGTCCAGGTGTGCCATGAAAAGAACAGATCACGGACAGGTAACACAGATGAAGGACAGGTAGGACAGGTAAACAATGGGCGGGGAGAGGTAAGATAGGTGAGATATGATGGACAGATAGAATTACCATGACTTGCCTAAGACAGGTAAATGACAGGTGAAGACAGGTAGGACAGAAACAGAAGGTGGTAAGTGTTCAGGTGAGACAAGATGGAGGTATATAAGACAGGTGTTTGAAGCAGAAGAGACAGGTACGACAAGTGAAAAGCAGGTAAATGCTGGGACAAGTACAGGTAGGAGACAGGAGGACAGGCGAGGGAAGAGTTAGGACAGGTGGGTAAGGAAGGATTGGGGTGCAGCAAAAGAACAGGTCAAGGTGAGAAGTGATGGACAGGTAGGACAACAGAGACAATAAAGGGCAGGTAACAGGTAGGACAGGTGAGGTAGGAAAATGAAAAACAATTGAAGGTACAAGAAAGAGATGGAGGACAAATCACACAGGAAGGGTAAGTGATAGACGGGTGTAGGACAGGTGTAGAACAGGTGTTTTAGTGTCCCTGTGACCTCTGACCTCATGTTTCTCTGGCAGCAGTTTGATCAACTGTTTCAGGACCTCGACATCAAACTTGGATCTGTCTCCTCTCCAGATCAGAGACACAAAGTCCTCATGGGAACTGCAGAAGACACACAGGAAACGGGTGAAATAGAGAGACAGGTGAGACAATAAGGGACAGCTAGACAAAAGCTAGAAAAAAAATGTTGAACAGTTTAAGTACAGGTGAGACAGGTGAAGGAGTTTAAAGACCGGTAGGACAGGTGAGACAGGTGAAGTAATTAAGAGAGAGGTAGGACAGGTGAAGTAGTTAAAAGACAGGTGAGACAGGTGAATTAATTAAGAGAGAGGTAGGACAGGTGGGACAGGTGAAGAAGTTAAGAGACAGGTAGGACAGGTGAGACAGGTGAGGTAGGATAAAGGATGGGTGAAGGGTGTGATGAAACAGAAATGTTAAACATGAAGTTTAAGGACAGGTGAAGGACAGGTGAGACATTTCACCTGTCCTTCACCTGTCTCAGGACTGAGTGTGACATCATCACAGAGATGTGTTTCTATTGGCTGGGAGGTTGATTCAGGAAGTGAATTAGTACCATCTGAACTGTTTGAGGAAGATGTTGAGGTTCAGACTTTTCCTGGCATCAATGAAGGAAATCTGTGGATGGAGACAACAGCTGTTGATTGGTTGATTGATTGATTGATTGATTATCATCCATTACACAAAAACAGAGAATAAAAACATTTGACATCAGATCCACTGCCTGTCCAGTCAAATGGTTCTGAGCTGTTCCACCTCTTTGGGTTCGGTCCTGGTTTTGGTTCTAGTCTTGGTCTCGGTCGGGGGGAGACTGAAGAGCTGCTCGATGCTGCAGTAATCCGGTTCCACAGAGTCTGAAGATGACGAAGTCCACAGGGACTGAGGAGCTGAGAGAGACACATCCATTAACTCAGGTGTGAAGACCAGAGTCCTGGACCAGGACTAAGGTACCAGAACACAGACCATGACCATGACTGACCTGTCAGCGCTCTGGACGGGAGCTTCTGCCAGTTCAGTTTCTTCATACGCAGGGTGGGGCAGGGGGCGGGGCTTGTGTGAGGTGGGGGGCTGTAATATGACCTGCCCAGACCTTGAAATGCCTGGGCTATAATGATGTCACCTGGAGGAAGGGGTGGAGGAGCCATACCAGGTAAGGGAGGAGGAGGAGGAGGGGGTGGAGCTCCCATACCAGGTAAGGGAGGAGGAGGGGGTGGGGCTCCCATACCAGGTAAGGGAGGGGGAGGGGGTGGGACTCCCATACCAGGTGAGGGAGGAGGAGGTGGTGCAGCTTTCATATCAGGTGAGGGCAAAGTGGGAGGAGCTTGAGAAGACGCTGCTGAAGATGGTGTTGTCTCTGATTGGCTGGGGGGACTGTCAGGTAGTCGTGTCTGTACTGCCCTGTCAATGGTTCGGATCTTGCGATTGGCTGAGATGGACCTTTGGGGGAGGAGCCTCTCCAGCACACAGTCGACAGAATCCACATCAGCTACAACCAAACACACAGAGACACAGTTACTGCACTGGTTCCTGTTAGAACCTGAACATTATTATTATTATTATCATTATCATTATTATTGTTATTATTATCATTTATGAATCTGCTGTTTATTCTCTCTATTAATGACACTGACTAAACTGTGAATCTGAGGAAAACCTTCAACTGCAGGACGATTCAAAATGGTTCCTATAACTTTTATTTTGATTGATGAATCAGTTAGTTAACTGATGCTGATGGACTAATCCTAACGACCCAGAGTCCTGGTTCTGGACCTGGTCTGTGGAGAACCCCCTAAGGACCCCATCTGAACAGAGGATGATGGGATCATGTCTGACTCCGGTCACATGGACTGGACCCATGAAGACCCCTGCTGAGGACTTACGGTCCTGGGCCAGCAGCGTGGCTCGGTCCGCCAACAGCTCCAGAGCCGACCAGACCGGGGCTTTGTCCGGGTCCACCAACAACAAGGCCTGGAGGACAGACAGCAGCTGGACCGAGGACGGACTGCTGGACACCTGCACGGACAGAGGGAGGGACACTGTGTTGTCAGGGGGGAGGAGTTACAGGTTTGAAGGCTGAGGGGGAGGAGTTACAGGTGTGAAGGCTGAGGGGGAGGAGTTACAGGTGTGGAGGGAGAGGGGTTACAGGTGTGACGGTGGAGGAGGAGGAGTTACAGGTGTGACGGTGAAGGGGGAGGAGTTACAGGTGTAGAGGGGGAGGGGTACAGGTGTGAAGGTGAAAGGGGAGGAGTTACAGGTGTGGAGGGAGAGGAGTTACAGGTGTAGTTACCTTGGTGAGGACAGAGGTGAAGACATGCTCGTGGTTGCTCATGTCGATGCCTCCGTACAGTCTCTCCATCTCCTCCTCATCCTCTGTCAGAGAGTCCTCAAACCCATCACACTGGATGTTCAGGTCCTTGTCCTCCGTCTCCCTGGAGATAAAGAGACATCACAAACTGATGGAAACATAATGATTATTGATTATTGAAGAGAAGTATTTAAAGTAAGATGAACTCAGTACCTGAGTGTGGGCAGCAGATCCAGCAGCTGCAGGCCTGTAACAACAGTGGAAAAATGAGAGATGGATGTTCGGACAATTTCACGTTTACACCCTAGTAACCACCAGAAGTAGCAACTATGTAGCCCCAGGTAACTACCCAGCAACCACTTGGAACGTCATAGCAACCACCTAGAACACCATAGCAACCACCTGGAACATCATAGCAACCACTTAGAACACCATAGCAACCACCTGGAACATCATAGTAACCACTTGGAATACCACCAGTAACCACTAGAACAGCCACTTAGAAATGCCCTGTTGACCTACTGTTAATGTCCTAGCAACTATCTAGCAACTGCAGATAACAGCAAATGACTAATTAACAGCATAGCAACCATCTGGAACACCCTTGTAACTACAGTGTGAAGATCAGGATTTTTGAGGACAGTACTGATATTTAATAATACGCTGTTAAAAACAGTATATCAGCCAATATTAACTGTAACTAAGAGATGTAGTGGGTCGGATCTTTTAGTGTAAAAGGAAGCATTTCGCTGCCCTCTGGTGGACAAGCTACTGAATGGTAACCATGTTTAAAAATGTCTGACATTTCTGTATTTTAAATTCTTGACATTTATTAGCTGACATATACACCAATCCTCAGTGAGCTAATATCTCTACTAGCAACACCTTGCAAACACCTAGCAACCACGAGTATCCCCACAGCAACCATATGGAAATGCCCCGATAACAACCTGTCACCACCACTTAGAAACATTATAGCAACCACATAGAAATGCCTGCCTTAGCAACCTGTTGCCAAAGTAGCATCAGTCAGAAACCTCTTAGCTCTTCACTGCTAACACTAACACCAACCCTTATTACCAGGTGGCATTTTGCTGCTAATGTCATTAATTCAGTTTGTTGTATAAGTGTCATTGTTGTTACTTTCAGTATCAAGGTTGTTTGCTGTTATATTATAATTAGCATCATAGCTTTTTAGCCTTGATGTAGTTACTCCAGTCAGTGACATCAGAATGACATCATACCGATGAACTCCTGTCGCAGTCGGTCCCTCTTCCTCAGGTCTTCCTGTCCCAGCACCAGCACATTGACGACACTCATCAGCGTCACCATGTAGGCGACGTTGTCGGTACCGTGAAACTCATTCAAGATCACGCTGAAGCGGTACTGCTGCTTCTTCAGACTCTGAACACAAACAGGAAAAAGACAAACTGAGGTAAAACTGAAGCTCTGACATTATTCAGTCTTTCTGACTTCATCTTTGAAACTGAACATCTGCAGTTTCAGAAGAAGACTTTATCACATTCATAAAGGAACGTGAAGCTTTGTTAAGATTCGGTTAATTTCATTTCATTTATTTATTTATTTGAAAAGGACAGTGCACATTAATTAACCTGTAAATGTGCCAGTGTTAGCCAACAGGCTAATTTTCAACTGCCGTCCTCTGGCAGGATGTCTAAAAACCACATATTGACCAGATGTTCATCAGTCAAATGAATAAATAACACATATTAAAAAGATACATAAAATAGATATAAAAACAACATATATCAAACAACAACAAGTTAGCATAATACCATTTAAGAGTGTTCACATGTCTGACCGCTTAAGAGCCAGTCCTTAACATAATAAATGTTTAACGATGAGGATGTTGTCCAGAGGAGCTGCAGCATATGAATCAACCTCAGGAAGGATTCTCCTCTGGACAACAGATATCTGCTGATTTATTGAGAAAGGAAGGACAGGTAAGATCTTGCATACATGACAACAGTGAGGGATCGTATCCCATCATGCTTCAGTTCTGGATTGAGAGCAAGTAAAAACAAGCCTGGGTGCGCTCGACACGCCCACACCTGATTCTGATCTGAGGTGGGCAGAGTCTTATCTGCAGTCACACCCTCATGTTCCACACTCACTGATAACTGAACAATAACGTTTCACAGCTGATAAAGACCAGTTTTCCTCCGTCCTCATGTCTCTGCTGCGTCTTCACCACAGTCTGCTCCACACAGAAATACAAGTTAAAGTCCTGCAATTAAAAACTCTACTTAAATAAAATGTATAGAGGTGTTACCACCATCATGCACTTAAAGGACCTATTCTCTATTTGTATGTAGCAATAGCTAAACTTACATACAACTCCTTTAAAGTGACTAAAGAATGTTCCACTCAGAGGATTCAATCATGGAGCATCCAAACACCTGAACATGACCTCAGCGTTTTTTAAAGAGACTATTGCCAGGAGCTCTCTGGACATCACCATGGATCCAATCTGTGATCAGATCAATGTTACTGATTAGAAGAACATGAGACAAGGTGTAAAACTTACAAACACAACAGAGCTTCAGTCTGTTAACAAGTTGAACTGAGACTTTACAACGAGAACCCGGTTTAGCTTCAGAAGCTACAACATTTGATGCAGCTTCAGTACAACCAGAACAACCAGTACAACCAGTACAACCAGTACAACCAGTACAAACAGTAGAACCAGTACATCCAGTACAACCAGAACAACCAGTACAACCAGTAGAACCAGGGGATCCACAACAACAGAACAACCAGTAGAACCAGAACAACCAGTACAACCAGTAGAACCAGGGCATCCACAACAACAGAACAACCAGTAGAACCAGTAGAACCAGTACAACCAGTAGAACCAGGGCATCCGCAACAACAGAACAACCAGTAGAACCAGTAGAACCAGAACAATCAGTAGAACCAGTAGAACCAGAACATCCAGTAGAACCAGTAGAACCAGTACAAACAGTAGAACCAGTACAACCAGTACAACCAGAACAACCAGTACAACCAGTACAACCAGTACAACCAGTACAAACAGTAGAACCAGTACATCCAGTACAACCAGAACAACCAGTACAACCAGTAGAACCAGGGGATCCACAACAACAGAACAACCAGTAGAACCAGTAGAACCAGAACATCCAGTAGAACCAGTAGAACCAGTACATCCAGTAGAACCAGTAGAACCAGTAGAACCAGTACAGGTACCTTGTAGCTGTCGAAGGCGTCCAGAGCCAGGTGATGTCCTCGAGGGTCAAACAGAGCAAGAGCTGCCAGCAGCTCAAACACCTGCATCTTCACCATGACGTTGGACGTGTCCAGAGCTGAGGGGACACACAGATGGACACGGGGACAGGTCACGTGACTCCCAACAGTCAATAAGAACTCACATCACAAACATGGGTCAGAGTCAGGTGTGTCACCTGAGGAGCTACAGAGAAAGGAGGGATGAAGAAGGAAAGAAGGAAAGTGCTGATGTTTGGACGAGGCCATGGAGAAGAAGAAGAGCAGAGGAAGACGGAGAGAGCACCCACCCTGGGTCAGGGTCCTGACGTAGCCCTCGTTGTCCAGGATGAAGTGAAGTCCTGCAGAGGAGTTCATGACGGCGCGGATGCAGGCGACGCAGGTCAGCTGCAGTAGAGCGTCGGCGATGCGAGCACAGCTGCGACCGGACAGACGCTCCAGCGCCTCCATCAGCAGGTCCAGACCCCGCAGCTCCAGGAACTGCACCATCCACGCCTGGTCACTGGCCTCCAACCGCCGCCGCAGACCAGAGTAGTTCACTACCGTGGGAACCTGCAGACAGGAAGTACTTTGTTTTTCTTCTCTTGATCTTTAAAAGTTGTGTAAAACATTTAATTTGAAAGGGTCTGACACAGAGCAGGAAGTGCCAGCTCACAGTTGTGCTGCTGATCAATATCAGATATTGATAACATTAAGAACAGGTGCAGGTCCTACCTGCAGCAGGAGGATGCACAGCTCAGGGTCTGCGTTCTCCAGATTCGCCTCCAGCGTGGCATCTGGGTCGTGGGCGGGGCCTCCAGTCACTTGGTCCTTTACCGCCCCCCATTTGGTTTTGGCTGTCATGATGACGAGAAGCTGCAGAGAAAAGAGACCAGAGGTTTTTATTGATCATTGATTTCTGGATGATTGAAACATCCAGTCGGCACGAGGCTGAATTATTGATTACTGATTGATTATTGCTCTGATGATCAGTTAGTTAATCGTTTCCCAGAGTTCAAAGTGCTACGTCTTTTTAACTGTCTCGTTCTGAGTGACTGAGTGATTTTAATTTACACAAACACTGTGTCACAATAACTTCAATGAAATACATTTTAATGAACTAATCAAAGCAAACATAATGACAAACTAATTAAAGTGATACAGGGTTTTTCCTGCATAGAGAATTGGGAGGCGGCCGCCTCCGTCAAATTTCTTGCCGCCTCCCGAAAAAATTCTACTAAGTCTACTAGTTTTCTCGGTACTTGGCGGATTTGACGTTTGTAACTGCAATTGCGGCTGTACGCCACTACGGCAATGTGGTGGCGCTGTATCGTAATCCGTGCATCAGGCAGAGACATCCCAAATTGCAAAAGAAGAAGAATACGAACACACTAGATTTTCTGCCTGCGTAAGAAGGCGGCGACCTGATTTGAGTGCAGACATCATTAGTTCTTCTAATGTGGGAAAAAAAGTTAATGCATGTTACTGACAAGATACGGTTAATTTGTCAGGACTGACAGTAGGCTTAGTCCTCAGCCACACGTGGAAGGTGCCGGCATCTTTATCTTCCTGTCAAAACTATGAAGTTTATCTCTTCCTGATTCACTCAGCTGACCTGCGGCTGCAGCGTAATAGTGTGTGCTGTAGGTGCGCTTGTGCGCAGGTAGTTCAGCGGTTGAAAAATGTAGTGACAAAGGAAAGTGCTGTTTTAACGGGAAGATAAAGAGGTAATAAAAACCAACTATCATTGTAATCCAGCAGAACGACCAGATGAGAGGATCAATGATCCAGCTTCTGTTTCTCACTTCACTTTATTTCAGCTGGTTTAATTTTATTCAGCAGGTTTTTTTCCTGGTGACAGTTTTTTTCATAACTGTCACCAGTGTCCTTCCTCTTCACTGAGCTGCTGTCTCACAGGACTGAGCGTGTAGTGGATCAGGGCTGATCACAGAACATCCGTCTCAGCAGGTTTTCAGTGTTTTAGTGTTGAGTCACCACAGTCTCAATCCTGTGACTCTGTGCTGTCAGTGTGTTGGTATTTAAACATCCTTCAGGCTGCTCTGCTCTCTGGAGCTGGTTCTGACAGCTGGGTCCACACAGGACCGGGTCGACTCAGGAAGGACCAGGTCACTGTTGGTGAATACCCGGACTCTGCTCTGATCTAATCCTTCATTCCTGCTCTCTGTTTAGTCCCTGACCTCACAGACAGACAAACTGAGAGAACAGGGTTACTGAAGGTCACGGGGTTACTGAAGGTCACAGAGCAGAGACCAGGAACTGAGACCAGGGACCGTTCTGCTGAGGTCAGTGTGCTGCCATGTGAGGAGAATAAACCTGGTTCTTTATCAGAACCACAGGACCAATGAGAAAACAGGGAGGGACTGATCTGATCAATCACTGATCAATGATAAGATGTCAGATCAGAGCAGAACAAGCAGGTCAGACCAGGAATCAAACAACCTCTGACCTCCTCACCTGAGTGTGACGTGTTTACCTGTCTAATATCAAACCGGGTGCAGATTATTTTCTGTTCATTAATTGATTGATCCATCGTTATAGCTCTGAATAAAATGCTAAGATAGTTCAACCCTGAGAGTCATTAATAACAGGTACAAAACATTATATTATATTTTAATGCATTACATTCTTATATTATATATATATACTGTATATCATTATATTAATATAATTCCAGTGAAAGGTTAACACTAGTAAACACTCAGGCTGACTCCACATCATTTCACTTCTGTGGAAATAATAAGAATCAGAAACAGTGAAATATAATAATTAAGAATGAACACTAATTCAACACAACTGAAAACTGTCTCATTCCAGACAAACACAGACACGAAGTTTTTAAAATTATATAAATATAATCAGAGTCTGTGAGACAGACGTGATTAAAGTTCGGGCACTGGCAGATTTCTCTCTTTCTCTCTAAACACTCAGATAAAAACCTTTTTACAGGGAATCATCCTGCACACACATGAAAACTCCTCTGCTCCGGGTGTGAACCAGAGTCACAGTGTGGTGAGTGAATCCCAGTGTTTGTCTGAGCAGCATTAACAAGTGATTGTCAGATTGTTGGAGCCTCGAGGCGCTGGTTCCTCTGCAGCCCTGACCCACCCACAGCTCTGGCACTGAGCCCAGCCTCCTCTGTGCAGGTCGCACCAGACTCTGTTCAAAACTCTGGATAATTAATGTTCCTTTGCACTTCAGCAACAGTAGAGAGAGTAGAGATCAGTTTTGAATACTGTCCAGATAAGGAGTTTATTCTGGTGAATTCGGCTCAGTCAGGATTCATCAAAAGCTCTTTATTCCTATAAAACCTCATTTTATATTTAAAATTAAATCTTAGTTTTGACGCGGTTGTCTGTGTATTCGGTGGAACTGGATTGAAATATCGTCTTCAGACAGAGCAGATTTAAACGTATTTTAAATCTAAATAATGTCAACAGTCAGGACAGACTCAGCAGCTGTTTTCTTCAGTGAAGCTTCGCCTGTTAACTTTTTAAACGTCTAGTTTTTCTAACGGAGTTCGGCAGCCGAACAAATCAAAGCCGAAGTTTCACCATCTCACTTTGTTAAAAACTTTAACGTTTTCTGACGTTAACTTTTAAACGTTGATTCCTCACGGAGCTGGTTCATACTTACAGTCAGATTTGTCCTTACCGTGAGAGCCGCAGAGCGGGAAGACGCTGTTCGTCTCCCCGGCTGTCTGTCAGTGCCCGGCGGTGAAAGTTTCGGGAGCTTTCCGGTCTGTGTGGTGAACCACCGCCCGCAGTCCTCTACCACGTCCGCCGCAGATGGGCGGTGTCAGAGGTCATCGCAGCCGCCCATCTGGGCGCGTGCATTTTTTTTTAATAAGTTACTGATGTAACTATGGTTCCATGAAATAACACCAGATCACGTGAAAACCTCAGGAAACAGACTCCACATGTTATTATATAAATTTTAAACAGAAGTAAATTCAACACTGTAGAAAACAGAGCTGAAAGGATCATATTTACATTTTACTAAGATTTTCTGAGCCACAGTTACTGTTCACCTCATGATTTAAAGCAGCTGCATGTTTCCAGAAAATAAAAACAAAGCTGCATTACTCTGCAGATCAGCTGTTTAAGTCAACCTCAGCTGATATTATCTTTTTACCATGGGCATTTTTTAAAGTGTTCTAAACATCGAGAGGTTTTGAAAAGTCACATTACAAAGTGTAAAGACCAAAAAACAACAATAATTAATTCAATTAATTTTAAAATTGTATCACAAAATCAATTTTTTAACAATTGACAAAACTAAAATTTAAATATATATTTTATTCATATTTTTGATATTTATTTATTTATTTATTAGGGGTTTTCCCGCTTGAACCAATAATGTAGTGATTTCATGAAACGTAGACGTGGTTTGTTCTGTTCTTTTCAGTAAAAAAAAATATATTACTTTGTATAACTTATTTTGTTTATTTTATTTTATTTTTTATTTATCAAAGTATCCTAACTTATAAATAAATGTGTGACAATTCTATCAAACCAAACCGCTTGAAGATCGGTTGAAAGCTCAGTGAGTTGTTATGATTTTAATGTAATTGACCGTCTGTGTTGGTTCAGACACAGAACTGAAGTCGTAGTTGTCTTGGTTGATTGGTATCAGCTGTTTCTAGTGTTCTTCACATTCATTGGCTCCTTCACAGCTGTGTCACCAGTAACATCCAATCATATTCATGCAGGTGTACAGCGTGGATATTTGAACACTGTGGACACTGTCAGTGTCTCTGCTGGTTACACTCATGTCAACACTGTTTACTGCTGCAGATCCTCCACCACCCAAACCTCCTGACGTGGTTCTTCATGTTGTTGACTGAAGTCAGATTTAATGTTCATGTGTGTTTGTTCAGGGGGGGTCAGCTCTCTCAGCAGAATCATCATCACTGCTCACATTCATTGAAGCTCCATCACAGAGCTGTATTCACCAAATCTGACTAAACGTTTGATGTAAATTGTTCATTTCTTCACACAAGTGTCTCTGACTGAAAGTCGTCTTCTGTCCACACCTGTAGAAGAGGACCAATGTTCTATGATGAACTGGTGGATATTTGATTTCCTCCACTGAGAGTCGCTCACAGCCAAAACTAAACTGTCTGATAACTGTTGTAGTTTCTCTGTCCTTAGTTCAGATCATACAGCGGATGATGTGTGGGGATACTCACCAGCCCCCACCTCAGTGCTGATTTGTAGTCGAGGGTTGAATCTATGTGACTAAGTGTTGCTGAGAGGAAGACTCTGACTGTGGTCTGTGTGTATCTCTGATGAACAAATTGTTGTGAGAGGCATGTAAACAAATGTTTATGTCAAATGACGCTGCAGTCTACACACAGAAAGTTTTCCTTTTAGCTCGTTTATAACAGTTCACTATTAACATTAGCTGCTGCTAACCTATCAATCTAAACACTGATTGCTTTTTCACACTCAGAGCTACGACTGCAGCTGTTGTCAGCTCCAGTAAAAAGTTCACTCCTCCATTGTCTCCACCTCTGTGCTGTCTGTGTGAGAGCCCGAGTTTCTTTCTGCTTCATTTGTGCCTTGAAAACCCTGCGTGTGTTAATAAAATCCATTTTTTCTAATTCATCACCCTCAGTCAGTCTTTTGCAATGTGTTCATTGCACATGTTCATATCACAATGAAAATAAGATTAAGCAGTAGGCACTACTTAAAATGAAAACTCTGTTGACTTATACTGCAACATACCTTCTTTTTGTCATTTTTTATGTATTTAAAAAGATGCAGTATCTGTACATACCTGGATGAAAATAGCTGACGGCATCTATTTGGCTATTTACACCAGTATGGAACTAATGGCTGTTAAACAGTTTGTTTTTTTGTGTTGTTAACGTGTGTCTACAGGATGCTGCAAACTGTTGCAAAGGGCCGTTAAATAAGAGCCATATGCCATGTGGCGTTATTTGCAGTATCATGATTTCATGAAGATGTTTGCTCCAATGCAAAAACTGAATATAACAATGTAAAATATGAGTCAGTATGAGGACACACTGTGTTCACACATGATACTACACACCCTCTGTTGGTCCTGTCTTGTTTTAATGTGGAACAGAACAGACGTCTTCTGAGCTCATATAAACATGGTTGTACACACATACACACACATATAACTACAGTTATAGAAAGACAGTGTGTTTGTCTCTATTTACATCAGATCAAATAAATAGGAGATACAGGACAGGAAGGAGTCTGACTGTTAACAGTGTTTGACTGGGAGGATGAGTGGTTACAGAAACGTCACAGGTTCAAGTCTTGAATGTGCCAGTGTGCCACTGAGCAAAGGGCTAAAATGAATTGACTCACTAAGCTTGTTAAAAGCTGCTGTAGAAAACACTTGTATCATTAGTGTGTATGGAGAACAGAACCTGGTTATTAGGAAATCAATAAATTAACAAAGTCCATAAATTGTCCAAATAAATTTAAAATAATTAGACAAACTGAAAAGCACAAACACAGAGATACAGCCATTAATGTATAATGAATTAATCATAATGTGTTTACTGTGGATTAAATCGTTTAGGTTGTTGCTTTAATTGCATGTTGAAGAAAAATATAAAACCATGTTCATTAAGGAAACTTTTGTTACTAATAATAAAATAATTCTGCGGATAAATTAATTCAGTTATTTTACTCTCTTTAAAATGAATTTATTAATTGTAACTTGCCCCCTTATTTATTGTTGTCCTAGTAAAGCAGGTTGAGTCCTCCGTACATTTATCTGGACAGTGTAAAAGCTGGACACTGTTATCATTAATGTCTTCAGGCGACTTTCAGACTGAAGACACAGTTTTCGTAAGTGAAACGGCTTAAAGGAACAGTCCAACATTTGGGGAACTTCATCTTTGTTAGATAAGAAACTAGTGCCCACCTTCTCCATGCGTCAGCTGTTTAGTTGACTGTAGCATCAGGACAGTGAATGGTGCTAAAACCGAAATATTTTTGTGTTTTACATTTCTATTTCTACAACTTTTTAATACAAGCATCATGTAAATCAAACAGACTTGAAGCTGGTGGAAGGATTTTGTTTTTCTGCTTCCAGTCTTTGTGCTAAGCTAGGCTAATCATCTCCTGGATCTACCTGTAACCTGGACACAGAGATGACACTGATAGGTATCTGAATAACCTGACTCTGGAGTTAACAGAGGGTTTATCGAAATGTTGGACTTTTCCTTTAACATCAAAATAAAACCAGTAGTTGTACAACCACTAAATTTCTGGAAGTGTGACTGAACAAAGTGACTTTTGCAGTGGAATAATTTAGTGGTTGGTTCTCGAGCAGCAGGAATCTACACATGAGCTTTAATTTATACAGTGCAGCATTAAAGTCTCTGCTGTGACTGTAACATACAGTATGAAGCTTTTACAACTGCAAAGAGAAGATGACTGAAACAAAACCTACTCATTGTGTAGCTACACTTCCCTGAAACTGTGCAACACGTAACATCCAGTACAAAAAGGTGCTTTTAACAAATATTCTGACGGTAGATAATTCATACTTAAGGACTTTATAAAGATATTTACATATTTCTAGATGTTTATCTACAAAATGCCAGAGAGGACACTGGGAAAGGATCTTGTAATCTCAAGAAAGTTGGTTTTGGATTTTTACATAAGAAGCCAATAATAACAAGATGTTTTGTCTTCTAAATGTTTGTTGTCTTGAAATCACAGTAATATGTATATGTATATTTAAGTAAGTACAAATAATTCTTTGATAATCACAGGAAATAACTCTTTAGCTCATGACCGGTTTAACCACCCGGTGTTTGTATTTTATGTATAAATCTTTGGGTTCATTAATTCAGAGGTTTGATACGACGCCTTATAGTTTTATTAAAAACTCTTATCGCTCTGTTTCTTCAGCTCAGACTCTGGAACTTTTCTCTCAGGTTCTTCACGATGCTCTGTTGACCGGCTTCTGTCTTCTGTCCAGAGTTTGAGCTCGTTTTCTGAGACCCATCGTCCTGATTGGTAGGGGATGCTGCTGTATTGTCGAGCTCTTGAGGCCTAGCTAGTTCAATTTTAGTTTTCGCTTCCTCCCTCTGTTTGTATTCGTCAGAGTCCTGATAGGCCCGGCAGCGGTCGATGACGGCCATGATGTGGATCTTCTCCCTGCTGGTCGGTGAACGGATCTGAACGTAGCTGTCGTCGTCATCTTCTTCTTCTTCTTCTTTGGATTCTTTGGCTGTTTCTGCAGGTTCTGACTCAGGCTCTGGAAGTTTCTCTACGACAAAGATCTTGTGTTCGGGGTCGTTGGGTAGCGCTGCCTCAGCTGCAATGAAGTAACCGTCGTAGTTGCTATTAGAGACCTGGTCCTGGAGCTTCTGCAATTCAGTCATTTGTTCTCCACTCAGCCGAGGGTCCAGAGAATTGGCTCGGTGAAGCCGTTTGCTGCGTTCCTCTCGGCTGGCATCCCGACTGCTGCGAGGCTTGTACGGAGGACCCTCGTCAGAACCTCTGTCGGTGAGGAGGTGGCTGGAGGAGCAGCTGGAGTGTCTCCTCACACCTGCATCAAACATCTGCTCCGGGATGGAGCGACTCCGGCCAACAGGACTCTTCTGAAAGCGGCTGTGGTCGGAGTATTTGGAGCGGAGTTCTTGGACGTCAGGCCAGTTGAAACCCTCGATGGGAGGAGGAGGGCTAAGCGGACTGCGGGAACGAGCCCGACCCGGGAAAACTGCCCCTGAACTGCAGGGGAGGATGGGGTTCAGAGGCAGAGTGGACGCCTTCTTATGAGAAACCAGCGCCAGGTTTGGATTACCTGCAAAAAATATAACCGAGCATAAATATAAAGTATAAGTACATGTTCTTTATACTTTATTTTCATACCAACCTGTTTGACCACTGCAGCTCTTTTGACCGTCAGACTTAATTAGTAAACACAAAGTTATCACAGCTGACAGAAATGACTGACAAAACTGACAAAATAAAAATAAGACCTGACTGAAATAATGAAGTTGTAAGGTACGATCAGAACTCGCTTCTATTTTATCTTGAGGAGGGAGCAAATCTAAAAAAGGGGAGATATTGTAACTTTAATATAAACTCCCTGATTTTGTTACAGTACCTTAAATTCCAACATCATGTTTTAGTGTTAAATGTCATAATCCCCAAATATACATAAATGTGTTTAAATAAACTTGATGCTGCTAATTTTCAGGTATTTAAAATCAGCATTAAGTAATTGTGCCTCTATTTAATGTGTCCAGACTAAGAGAACTCTGCTTTGCAGTAGGTCTGAAGGTAAATAGGACATCACAGTACCTGGACTTTCCTCCACCACACAGGGTAAGATCTTCTTGCTGATCAGGATGCCCTGACTTCGCTGTCGGACCACTGGTTTGGTCGTTTTGATTCTCTGGCTGTACTGACGAGCCAGATGGAGGACTTTGCTCTTCGTTTTGTCTACATCGTCCACCTGGTTTAAACCCTCGCTGGGCCTTTCCCCCTCTGCCTCCACCTTCAGCTGGGTGACCCGAGGAACCGCAGCCCTGAGGATGACGGCCTCTTCCCCGAACACCTTCAGGGTGTCCTTCAGACTTCCTGTCCGACTCACCCTGGAGGCTTTGGGCTTGAGGGGCGAAGGGCTTGTGGACTCCTCTGTGATGGTGCTGAGGTCAGATGCTCCACTCTCTCTGTCACAGCTTTTGTTTGGAGTGTTTGTCGAGCTGGAAAGGCCGATGGTGGTCGCTCTGGAGTTTCTTGTAGCTTCTCTGGATTTTTCACGCCCTCGGTCTTCACTTTGGGATCTGGTGATCTCTTGCTCCATTGCCTGCCAGATTTTAATCATTTCAGATGAAGGCCTGAAGTCTTCATCCTCATATGGATTATCCTGCAAGCTCTGAGATCTGGATCTGAGGCTTTCTCCTGAATCTTCTGGATCTGTGCTTCTCTGATCAGACTTCAAAGAGTCCAAAGAGTCACTAGATACCATGTGATCACGGGTATCTCCAGGTAAAGCCAAGTGTGACTCCACTGAGAAAGGGTCAAGACTGGAGGAGGCTGTCGGGGTGGAGGGATTAGTCTGGACAGTTTTATCATTTGGGATGCTGTTGAACCGGCTGACAGAGCTCCTGACCAGCCCGGTCGGGATGTATGTCAGGCTCTCTCTGCGCTGGAGGCTGAAGGTGGCGTCCTGGCTCTCAGCGTTCTCGTAGTAACTCTTGATTTTGCCGATGAGCAGCTGGTCCTGCTTGGACAGGGTGGAATCTCGCCTCCGTCGAATACCTCTGTCAGTGTCAAAGAGGCTGTCGTCCCGAGGAGATAGCAGAGTCAAATCTGTTGCACTGCAGGTCTCTGCAGGATCTGGACAGATGCTGTTAAGTCCTAAAGGTTGGTTGGTGGGTTCGGTGCTGAGGCTGAGGCTGCTGCCGGTTCTGCTTGGTAACCGTGGCGAAGCACATCCGAGGGAGCGAGTGTCGTCCTGCGCCAGGCTGCCTCGTTTGATGCTGTTGGTGAAGTGCTGAGCAATAGCGCTGGCTTTGTCCAGGACGGAGGAGGGAAGGATGCTGATGACTTCACCCTGCTTTTCTGCCACCTCCTTGTCATCCTCCTCATCCTCAGATGACTCCCCACTACTCAAGGTTTTTGAATCTGAGTCAGGTGTGGCGGACAATGGTTCCTCTGTGGGCTCTGGATGTTCTTCACGTTTCAGTTCTTCTGACCTTTGAGGAGACACTGAGGTCAAAGGAGGGTCTGGATCAGAGGAGGGTTCTGGTTCAGAGTTTACTGTTGGTTCAGACTTCTTCTCCTGCAGCAGCTCGTCTGCAGCGGGCTACAAAAGAAGAAAATCCAAATAATAATTAGAACTGAAGAAATTCTCTGAACCATTTAAACATCAGTTTCAATGAGGCTTCAGTTTGGTTTGATGTGCGACTTTCTTTGGTTTTCAGTGAACTATGCGGTCTTATACATGTGGAACATTAACTCTGAAGTACAGCTTTGACCCGGACAGTTATGGAAGAACCTGATCCTGAGTTCTGAAACACTCTTGATACTGGATCCAAACAAGCATGGCAACATGTTCTAACAAGAGTACATAGACAACCTATTGAGTTTTAAGAACTGAGAACAAGCTCCACGTCACTAAAGAGGAACAGAACAGAGCAGGAGGTTCATGAGGGGAAATCAGGATAAGGACTGGTGGATCTGATTAAAACACGTGGAAGGTCTCAAACCTGCAAGTCTTCCGCTGTCATTTACCTGCTCAGATGTCGGCTCAGTTCCACCTTCTTCAGGAAGTCGTCCATCTTCTTTGTTAGAGCCGTTTGAGGAGAAGCTGCCTCCCTCTGTCTCCTTCAACAGAACATGTCAAATTAAAGTTTAACATCAGCAGATAAAGAAGAAAACATTCTTATATCATCATTAGTAATTATCTTTTTTTAAAGGGTCAGTTCACCCGAACCACAAAAAGTCATGTTTCCCTACAGAATCAATGTTCTGTTTGTTCTGGATCATTCACAGAAATAAAACTGCTGAGTTTTTCAAATATAAGTTTCCAAACTAAATTCCTTTCACCTCCGTTGTGTTAGGAGAAGAGATGTCAGAGACAGAAACCTCCAAACCTCAGCTAATAAAACGTTCTTCATGTTATTTTCACAGGGAACATCAGGAAAATCTGTCTTTCTCCTGAGTGAACTGACTCTTTATTACAGACACAGTGAACGACATTAACCACCTCTGATCATGAACAACAGGCAGGTGATGAATCCTGTGGGTTTCGTTATCATCACACAAGCTAAATAATGGGTCAGTCTCTGAAACCAAACATGCAAATAAACGAAGCAACAAAACACTGAGAGGCAGCAGCAAACGTCTGGTTCAACACGACCTGAAGACGCTCAGTTAAGGCTGGTTTCAGCACCACAGCAGTCGAGCTGGATTAAAGGTTAAAGGTCGGACGTCCAGAGAAGCTTAAAAAAAACAGAACTTACATGAGAGGAGGAGAAAAGTAGCTCTGAAAACACGGTATCAGTTCTTCTTCTCCAAAGTCAAACGTTTCAGATGGATCAGTTTCAGGACGGTACAGGACAGGTTTAGCGTAGCTTAGCATAAAGATTGGAAGCAGGGGGAAATTGTTTGCCCAACTCCATTAAAAGATGAAAACATGGTGTGTGTTGACAGACCTGCTGGATCAGTCACCAACAGTCTGACTTCATCACGATACAGAAGTGCAGTGTTATTACAGCAGCAGTCGTCCAGGTGAACGTTTACAACACCTGATCTCTTCTTCAGATAAACATCCTGGACTGATGAAACTGATCCGTCTGAAACATCTGGATCATCTGAGTCTGGAGAACAGGAGTGTTCATCAAAACCCTGAAGTCTAACTGTTCTTTAACTGCTGCTGCACGTGTCTGAACATTAACAGTCCGCTGTCCGTCACCCTGCTGTAGTTTAACCCGCTGACCCCAAACATGCAGCTCAGCTGGTGTTAGTTCCACACATGAAGCTCATGCAGCAGATAGCTGAGAGCTCCGGAGCAGGGGTGGTAAGTTATCATTGAGCGGAGCGGGGAGCGCTGTTATCCGGGACTTTAGAGAGTTACGGAGCTGGTGTGGGAGGGTGGAGGGCCAAGCTGAGGACGCAGGTGATGAAGAAGAAGACCAGGCCGGCAGCAGAAAGCCTCACCGTCACCGAGCTGGACAGAAAGGCCTGGACCCTGTAGTGCCAGCAGGAGATGGCTGCCAGCACGGAGCTGGCAAAGTCGTCTACCTGGTCGTCCTCCAGCAGGATCTCGTCCGGATCACTGTCCTCTGTCTGATGAGACCGCTGTGGAGACAACCTCTCCGCCTCCTCCTCCTCTTCCTCGCTGCACATCAGCCGTTGTAGGGAGTCCTTCCTGCTGCCGAGCTCCTCCCCCTCCTCCTCCACGGGCCGGTCGGATCCCAGTGTGCTGCAGCTGACAGCGGGCTGCAGAGAGCGCCTCTCCCCCGGTAACACACCCTCACTGTCTGAGTGCTGCGGGACGTCACAGACCTGCTGATGTTCCTGTAAAGTGTGTGTTCTCTAGGACTAATGAGGAGCTGGTCCAACAGCAGGACTCAGCTGCTCCTCTGAGGGAGGAGTCACCCCACATCACCTGGTTTATGTTGTTAGGGTTAGAATTACAAAACCACCTGAGACTGGTCCCATAACACCTGATGGTGTGGATGTTTTTTAATTCAATGACCTTAAGTAACCTTCATTATTTTATATAAGATAATTGTATATATGTAACCTGTATATTCAGAATATAAAGTTGTGTTTTATCTGCCCTGGTCCCTTTGAAACTTTTCTTGCCTTGGTTTGTAATAATGTGTGAAGTTCCTCATCGACCACTAGAGGGCAGCGCAGCTGACATGCTGCTGGAAAATGATGCTTATTGATCATTTATAATATTGTGATTTAGCTGATTACTTATGAAACAACAATGTTTTATTTGGTGATGATTTTTCTTATATATACGTTAAACCACAGTGACAGTTTGTTTCTTACCTTTAAGATGGCTGTGAGTTCGACAGGAGAATCAGCAGCAGAAGAAGAAGAGCAGACATGATGGTTGAACACAGACAGTAAAAACATTCAGTTAATATTAATCAGTGAGAAACATGAATTAATAATAAATCCACACTTTGACCTCTCATAATGTTTGGGCATGATTTACAGTCACCAACGTATTCAGGATGTCAGTGACTGTTTCATTCCTCAGGTCAGTAAACGCACCACAGTTATAGATGTGATGCATGTTTGTAAAGAGTCCGTGAACCTGGCGTCAGCTGAGAGCAACAGGTCAAATCTCACCTGAAATAAAACACCTGCTCAACATACAATGCAAATTTTCTGGGCTGATGTTTGTTAATTTGAGTTTTACACAACACAACAATCCACTGTGCTACAATCAAGGACACTGCAACAGGAAGTCAGACTGACACTGGATGTTTGAGACACTGAGCAGCGACTCAGATCTGTTGCGTTCGGGACGTTTTCCTGTTCGTTCTAAACTCTGATGGATCTCTGTCTCTCAGAGACTAAAGGAATCAAACTGAGTTTTGGAAAGTTGATGAGGTGGAAGATTCACAGTAACTGTAATAACAAACTAACAGTTTATGACTTTACCTTTGCTGCTCTTCAGGATTTGTTTGGTTGGCTCTGCAGAAGAAAGAAGAATTTCATTAGAGCTATAAACAGAATAAAGTGACAGAAAGAAGCAGCTGATGATCTGATTCGTCTGTTTGTTTGTTTACCAGACTGTCGTCGTCCCTGACGACCGTCTCGCTGAAACTCTTCAGACTGAGAGGACAGAGCTTTCTTCAGACGCTCGGGACTGTAACGATACCTGGGAGGATCTACAAGTGAAAACATCATCATCATCATCATCATCAGTTGCTGACGTCACATTCAAAGACCAGGTGCTGAACATTTACTCACAGATGGAGTCCATTTCTAAGATGGCCTCTTTAGCCTGAAACAAACAGGACAACAAACATCAGACATCTGATGAACACAGGTCTCACTGGTCAGACTGGTGATCTACCGGTGTTACTGGTGTCACTGGTTCCTGACCTTCTGTGGGATGATGGCGTGGTGGTTTTCCAGAATGATGCGTTTGATGTGATGAGCCCACAGCTTCTTCTCCTCCACCGTCTTCGCCTGAAACCAAAGAACAGAGGATTGAATCTGTTTCATCTGTTTCCAGAGAACTGGAGTTTATAAACCCAAATACGTATAAAACATTAAATAAATGTATATATACTGAACTGTCTCCCACAGATAAAAAAGATATAAACCAGTTAATTAGAAAAAATTATCAAAGAAAATTAAGATTATAGAGTTGAATCCAGTTTATAGTTGAACTACAAGAACAAAGGTTTTTCATCTTTCATCAGTTTAGGTTTTCTACCTTGATAGATCCAGGAGTCGTTACATACAGTGTTATACAGTGATGCTGGTTTCCCTCCTGAAGAGTTAATCTGTGAAATGCTGCAGCATTCACATGTTTGTGTCCAGACTGAACACCTGCGCAGGTGTCGGAGGTCTCACCTGGACGGTGTGAGGCTGTTTGGGATGTTTATAATGAGTGACGCTGAAGCTCAGGGAGTCTTTGGCGCTTTCGATCAGCATCAGAGTGGAGCACTGAAAACAGAGGGAAACTCAAACCAACATCACTCTGACGAACACGTCTCAGGTCTACGACTCTGAGCTTCGATGTCAGTGACAGTTTGTTGTTTCTCACAGAGATATGCGTCTTGTAGACGTAGTGTTCTCCGCGGCGTTTGGTGATGAGCAGCATGCGATCGAACAGGAAGAGCGTTCTCTCGTTTTTGGCTCGATGAAGTTTGAAGGTTCCCTCCAGAACCAGTTCTCCGTACGTGGTGAGGTCTGGACCTTTCCAGTTCAGCAGCAAAGACTGAACCTCCTGGAGGAAACACAGAAAACCAGAACATCAGAGCAAATCATACGTTAACTCTGTAATTAAAACATTCAGTGCAGAACTTGGAAATCAGCTGTTTCATATGTCGTCACTGAACCAGAGTGATCGCCAGTTAAAACACACTGTAAACATGAAAGTGGATTTCATGAAGTCTCTAAACCCTGAGGAGGTTTATTCAGGTTCTTCTGTCACAGGTGTTCAGCACCCTAATGGGTTAATGGGTTTTCTGTGTGAGCTGAAGAGTAAGAGCCACCTTTAATTGACTCATTTGTACCTTTCAATTAACAACACATTCAAGGCTACAGACCTCAAATACCAATCAAACAAGATGCTAGTTATCTCAAACAGCTGACACAATCTCCTTTCAATAACTGGTCAAGTATTTATTTATTTATACAGTTGAGACAAGCAACACATCATAAACAGAACCTTAAATAAAGATCGACTTGATGGGTAAGAGAAAATATTCTGTATGTATCAACTACAAATTCAGAAATTCTAATAATTTCCTGCCAAAACTAAAGATTATTTTTGTTTTGAAAAACAGGTCATATGAGAAAATCAATATTCAAACATTTAATAATCAAGAAAAACGTGTTATATGTAAATTTTACCAGTATCAGTGTGTGTGTTCATCTGCCACTTACCTGCAGTCTGACGGCATGTTCGTGTTTCCTCTTCATGTCGTTGATGTACCAGGCCACGCCCGTCATGGTGTAGATGGCCTCCTCCACCACCTCATACCCCTCCTCCTCGGGGTCAAAGTGCTTCGCTATCTCCTAAACACAGACGTCATCAACGATTGAATCTCGTCAGACTCACAATTCTATGCAGATGATCACACTCGGATCACTTCTTCTTGTTCCATTAAATATTGTGGAAAAGAGTCACGTCAGATTCACAGACCTGCTCAACATGGACGAAACTTACTTTCATGGATTAAAAGAAAACAGAAGTTAAGATCCACAAGTGAACAAACAATTTCTCCTCATTTCTCCATGATACAGCTGTGAACTGTTTGCATTGGCGTCTCCTGATCTCATTGGTTGTTTATGCATCAGCTGGACCATGTTGACTAATCAGTCTAATGCTTATGACAGGTGTGATGGGGCGTCAGATGTGTCGGTGTCGTACCTGGAGCAGCAGGTGGTATTTGAGGATCCTCTGAACAGGCTTGAGCAAGTATGAACCCAGAGGCAGCGACCGCTTCAGCAACGCCTGACGCTCCCGGAAAAACTTGGCCAGGGATTTATTCCTCATGCAGTCCGTCAGCGCTGCAACTGAACTGCAGCAGGCGGGAAAAGAAGCAGGTGTGAACAGGTGAAACACAGGTGAGAGCAGGCAGAGACAGGTGTGCACATCCCGCAGACGTTCAGCACTTACTTTGGGTAGTTGGTGCAGTACTGTGTGTAGATCTCAAAGTACTCGCTCTGAAACAAGTCGTCACAAACAGGAAGTCAGAAAAGTTCAGACTGTTTCTGACGCCAGGAGAAAACTTCACTGAGATTCTGAGATGTTTTCTAATAACTGGACGATTGATCACTTTTATATCAATTTATCTATATTATTATTGAAGAAGCTGCACAAACCTTCAGTTAAAGTAAACTCTGGTTATTTTCATATGATTAATAATAATTATAATAATATAATAATTGGGGCGTTGAGTGGCGCAGTGGTTACATGTCATTCCCCCTCTCTGCCTCCCCACTTCCTGTCTCTCTCTACTCTGCTCTCAAATAAAGGCATAAAAAAGCCCCAAAAATATTCTTTAAAAATAATATAATAATTAATATAATCATTTTATGTTAAATCCTGAAGAAGCTTCTCACCTTCATGACGAAGCAGCGGGCGACGGCGACGGGGTCGTTGTCACACAGGTCGAGAGCCTGAAGCAGCTCGCTGTGAACAGGAAACACGTCACCATGACGATGACGACAACAACAACAAGAAGTCAACCGAAACATCACATCTCTTCATCTACAGCCAGGATTAAAACACCAGAGATGAAAATATTGCTGACTTTATGATTTTGCAGTTCACAGGTCGACCTCCATTTAGTAACCATTCTGGACCTTTCAATCGAATCACACGGCCTTCCTCAGCAGGTGGAGTTTTTAAAAATGTAATTATAATAATAATTTAAAACTAAAAGTGATTAAATTATTTTTAGAAAATTAGGAAATTTTATCAATTCAATGACAACTGGGCGTCTGCTGATGAAGATCATGTGAAATTATCAAAAGCTCCAGAACTTTGTGGTGAAACTGTTTAGTCAAAAATGAATTTTGAATCTCAAAGACGTTAAAGGATAGTGATATTATTCTGATTGTCTACATTCATCAGTTTTCACATGAATCCACGACTTAATGGACGTAAAGAAAAATCAAACTGTAAATGAAGGAACTTGAATTTAAATTCAAACTAAAACGTTGAAAAACGAAGAACCAGGTGAAACATTTGAACCGTCTCCATCAGTAGTTGTAACGACGTCATCTGTCCAGAAGGTGGAGCTGTTGCTCTGTGTCGGGTTAGTTTGTTTTCTGTATCTGCAGCTGTTTCAGGTTGCCGATGGGCTCAATGTTAATAAACTTAATAAACTGTTAATAATGTTTTCATTCAATCCACTTTGAGAAAAGAATAAAATCTTCAATATGGTACAAACAGGAAGTGAATAGAATCCAGTGTAAAATAGAAAACTGTTATTTTTGACGTCTGAGCTGGAAAATCAAACTAATGTCAATGTTTACAGAGAAAAACCTGAAACAGCTGATTCGATGTTTTGGAGCCGAGGAAACAAGGCGTCAAACACCTGAAATCAGCAGGAAATTTCAACAACAAGCACAGCTTCAGGTTGTTTTCAGAGCAGCAGCTTCACTTTGAACTTTCAACAATCACAACAAAAACTTGAACTAAAATTTTGTTTCTGAACATCAAGTGTAACAGCTGGTTTAAAGCTCGTCCATCAGCTGCTCCGCCTCCTCGTGTCCTTTAAAGGTTCAGAGCTTCACACTGAGTCACTGCAGGACGTCACCACCTGAAAGATCATCTGACCTTTAAAATGACCTGATAAAAACCTCCTGTGTCTGTCGAATGTTCTGTTGTGTTACAGTATGAAAACACCACACGCAGCTCTTCAGCCCTGACCGGTTCTACCTGTAGGTTCAACCCCCACCCCACTGAAAATATGTCGCTGGGTGCAGGACCACAGCAAACCACAACACTCCACACTCCATGCTGTGCAGCCGGGTGGTGCTGGTCTGAAAAACAAACTCACCCTCTGACATGAAGCAGCGAGCGCTAACTTCACAACAACAACAACAACAACAACAACAACAACTAGAGTCAGGATTTTAACTTTAAACCAGTTCATCAGAGTCAGGATTTTCCTCTCACCTGTTGAACTCGTAGATGTCCTCGATGTTTCCAAACAGAGCACAAACCTGCTCAGGACGAATCGACAAATCAGACTGATCGATGATGTGAGCCAGGTAATCCTGCAGTAGGAGGAGGAGGATTTTACATATTAAAGTGAACCTGCTGCAGCTGTTTCATATTTATTGTTTTTATTATTGTGTTGATTTGATTCCAATTGAAATGTGATTTTTTATTAATTCATTCATTCATTGTCTACCGCTTATCCTCTAGTAGGGTCACGGGGGGGCTGGAGCCTATCCCAGCATCCTTTCGGGCGAGAGGCGGGGTACACCCTGGACAGGTCGCCAGTCCATCGCAGGGCACACAGAGACAAACAACCATTCACTCTCACTTTCATACCTATGGTCAATTTGGAGTATTCAATCAGCCTAGTCCCCATTTGCATGTCTTTGGACTGTGGGAGGAAGCCGGAGTACCCGGAGAGAACCCACACAAGCACGGGGAGAACATGCAAACTCCACACAGAAAGACCCCGCGTCTGAGCCGGGACTCGAACCCGGAACCTTCTTGCTGTGAGGCGACAGCGCTAACCACTGCACCACCGTGCCGCCTATTAATTCATTTAATTGTATTTAATACAGAACAGGCTATTTCTAAAAACAATAAAAGTTAATAACAATAGAAACAGTCTGACCCTCGTCACAGCTGAGGAACAGACTCATTAACAAGCAGTTCATTAAATCTGAACTCAGACTCTGAGTCCAGGACGTGGGTTTGTTTCTTCTTGCTGCAGCTTCATCTGATCCTCACTGTTACATAAGAGGCTAATCCAGAACGTCTTAGCCCGTTAATTATAGTCTGTGACGTGACGACACACACACACACACACACACACACACACACACACACACACACACACACACACACACACAGACTCTCACCGAGGACCTGAATCTGATCTGAGTTCAGTTTCACATGATGATCTACAAACTGAGGCTCAGATCATTACATCATCACATCTAATTAACTTACTAATTGTTCATTTTAGTGAGGATGAGACTTTTACTTTGAAGGGCACATGTACTTCCTTCCTGTCTACATGTCTGAATATGTTCATGTGTTTGTATGTTGATTTATTCTCACTGGAAATGTTTAGTGACTGTACGAGCCGAGCAGAGGTCAGAGGTCACAGGTCAGCGTGTCGATGTGTTGGTTACCTGATGTTGATGACATCACAGTGAGCTGAAGGTTCAGGACTCACCTCTACGATCATGCGCAGGTCTCTGACATACATCCTCTCCGTCTCGATGATCTCCATGATGACACGGTCCAGGTAGGTCAGCTGAGGGTTCGGCGCCATGCTGCTGGTCGTGAACGGAGACGTCAGGTGGCGGCCGGAGGTTTGGCTCGTCGTCGACTCTTTGTTGTTGTTAATTAGGCCTAGGCTCCGCCCCCTCCTGTCTGCACCGCCCCCCGCGGGGCTCAGGTCCAGGTCGATGTTGGGGTTGGAGGTATGGGAGGAGGGGGGCGGGGGGGCGGGGCTGTCGTCTCTGGAGGATCCGGATCCCGAGGACAGCGTGGAGATCAGGCTCACCGGGCGACGGTCTGATGACAGGTCGGGGTCGGAGGGCGTCGCCGACGGAGCGCGATCATTACTGCTGATGGAGGCGGTGGATAGGCGGGGGGACTCTGGGGGGGGGGGATTGCAGTCTGATCAGTGATGTCATAATGATGATTAACAAAAAAATGCTTGTCAACACACACACAGTCAACACACTGAGTACACACACAGTCACACACACACACACACACCCACACACACACACACACACACACACACACACACACACACACACACACACACACACACACACACACACACACACACACACACAGGACAGCTCTCAGCAGATGACTTTCACAGTAAAAGTCCAGGTTGTGCTCGATGTCGACACAATGTGGTCGGTGAGGAAACAGGAAGTGATGTCACAGGTGTAAACACACTGATAAAGGAGATCAGCTGATTCAGGTTCCCACAGAATCATCTGAACATCTGGAGAGTTTCTAACATCAAAACAAACGAACAAAAGACAGCGTCCATGTCTCTGTCCACTCTTCAGACAGAGACATAAATAAACGTGTGAACCTTGAGATATGACCAGGAGAGATGAAATTCGACTGTGTGTGATCAGCTGTGATCAGCGTTATATTGATGTTCAGACTGTGACACTGAAGGAAACTTACAGTAGGATTCTCAGTGAAGTCCTGCAGCCTGGAGTTTTATTCTAGAGGGGCATCAGAGATGATGACATCCTCAGGAAGTGATGTCACACTGCAGCCCTCCTCTGAGGAGGCGGGCCTCAGTTCAAAAACTGATGGTGTAGTTACAGTTTACAGCTGCTGTGACTCATCATCACTTTAACAGAACTTATTTCTACATGTTGTAATAACTGGACTTTCACAATAAAGGTTATTCATACATTTAAATTACTTTAATTATTTTAATAATTGGTTTAATTATCTCCAGGTTAAATGATACAATTCAAATAAAAAACTCATTCTCATTAAAACTAAAGAGTCTCTGTGATTCATTAAAGTTCATTAAGACGTGAGGGAAGTTTAGAGCAGAAGGTTCAGGTTCAGATCCTAGACAAACACAAACCACCACCTCATCATAACAGCCGAGGAGCCTTCGAGCAAGGCACCAACCACCAACTCTGACTGTTTAAATAAAGTTTGGACACCTGAATCACAGGTGTAATGACAGGAAGCAGGTTGATTATTGACTCTGATTGGTTTATGTCGACTGTTTGATTTGTTTGATTGGATTCAGTTACAGTCTGGTGATCAGAGAGCATGCTGGGATTTATTCTCTCACATGGCCATTTTGAGCAGTTGTGAAAGGATACTCCATCATTTCTAAAAACAACAGTTTGGCTGCAGTTAAAGTTGAGATTGTTTAACAGAAACATGTTACAGATTAAACATTAAATGTTTTTATAAACTAATAAAGTCAATTCATATTTATCTTTGAAGTGACTAAAACAATCAAAGCTTCAAACGCTTCAAATGTGATTTGAGACAAATGCTAACAGAACATGGTAATGCTACATGTTAGCATGCCACTAGTCAAGTCAATTTCATTTACATAGCATAAATAATAAAGATGTCTCAGGAGACTGTCTGATTGGTATGCTAACCAGCGCTAACTAGCATTAACATGCAACATTAGCATGTCAACGTGTTCACTTTTCAATCAAGTCTTCAAATGAATTTTAGGTAAATTTAGATTGACTGACGTCTTTTTCACTAAATAACCAAATAATAAAAACCATCACCTCAAGATTCAGTTAGTGTGCTAACAGCTAGCTGGTTAGTTGGTACAAACAGTCCAGAATAATCATAATTTAATCTTGATTATCACTAAAATATGTTTCCTGAGCATTTAGTCTGTAGTCTCTGAAGTGTTTGTATTATATTATCACTGCTCAAAATGGCTGCTGCATGGTTTTGGTCGGTGTTAGCGAACATACCGGCTAACCCCTCCTCCAAGGGTTTAGCTAAATATCTGAACAGCAGAGACACTGACAGTCCACCTAAAACAGAAAACAGAACAACCAAACACTTAATGTGGAGAAAACAACAACATTTACGACTGGAAAACATTGTTAGCAAAGCTAGCAGCTAGCAGCAGAGAAGCTAGCTGAAACATCTACAACTGTTTGATTATCTTGTTTTCTGGTTCAGACATTCGTTGTTTCTCCTTCAGTTCACGACAGAAACCTTGTTTAAAACTAATGACTGCACGGGAACAGTGATGCTAATTTAGCATGCTAATATGCTAAACTACAGGATGTTATGCTAACACACCAATGCTGTGTTCTGGTCATATCCCAGTTACTGTGACACTGAGATATATCTGAATCAGCACTAAAACAAAACCAAGATAGCCGCCCATTATTTGATCTCAGTAAACCTTCATTTAGTGGTTATGATGTCAGACTGTCAGAGCTCAGAGTGTGGAACATTACAGACTAAACATTAGCATTATTAGCATTTGTATTTAGCTAAAAAGGCTATGTTAGTGTTTCCTGCTGAACTTGAGGTAAAGACCACATAACATGTGACCTCAGGAGCTCTGGAACCTGAACCTGACCTGAACCCGGTCTCTGGTTAGTCCAGGTTCAGTCGGTTCAACATCTGGTTTTTATTTACAGGTTTATCCTTTTGATGGTGAGGCTTCAAGTTCTGGTAGTCCTACTTAAACTGATCCACGTGAGGTCTGGGTTTGGGTCGGGTTTGGACTTAGACCTTCATCCTGACAGTTAGTGGTGGAGGAAGCGCTCTGATCCTTCACAGTTAAATAATACTTCATTGTAAAAGTCCCACCTCAGTGAGTCACATGTATTTACTGTAAACTCTTAATGTGAAAAGTAACCACTTCCTCTGATGGTCACATAAACAGATTTAACTCTGACATCAGGAAAGAGGAGGGAGGATGTTTTCATTCGAACTGTAGAGGCTGGACTTTATACACACACACACACACACACACACACACACACACACACACACACACACACACACACACACACACACACACACACAGCTGTCCGTTAGTTGTTTGGCTTCCTGCCAGCTGAAAGTCAGTGAGGCGTTCACTGACCCAGCAGGAAGTGGATTTATGAGCATGATAACAGGAGCCAGTCACAGCTCAGTGTTTACCTTCAAACACAGCCACGACCTTTGACCTCTGCAGCCGTTACAGAGATCACAACAAGGTAAATCGTCTTTTCCTCCGAGTCCAAAATGTTCAACAAGCTTAAAAACAAGAGAAGATCATCAGAGACCGTCTGACCTCACACTGACGCCGCTGCCACTCACCGAACCAGCGGCGGACGAAGACTCGTCTGAACCGCCGATCGTCCCCGGCGCTCCTGAAGGAGATCTTCACCTCCTCCTCTGAACATGAACACCTCACCACCGCAACGTGTCCTCCTCCCCCTCCTCCTGCCAGGCTGCGCCACATGCTCCTCTGATACCCCATCACTCCACAACAAGCCTCACTCAACTACTTTTAAAAATAAATGGTCAGTTTTCCTGCAGCTTCAAAGACGCCTGAACGCTCCACAGGTGTGACTGAGCTGCTGCTGAAGAACACACACACACACCGACTACAGAGAGCTGAACCACAGAGTGATTTTAAAAAAGGAGGAGGAGGAGAAGAGGAGGAGTCATGAAGAGAGGGATCATATAAGAAGAAAGAGGAGGGGTCAGGAGGGGTCAGGAGGGAGAGGAGGAGTGAGAGCAGAGGAGGAGGGGTCAGGAGGAAGAGGAAGGAGAGCAGAGGGAGGAGGGGTCAGGAGGAAGAGGAGTGAGAGCAGAGGGAGGAGGGGTCAGGAGGAAGAGGAGTGAGAGCAGAGGAGGAGGAGGAGGTTATGAGAGGAGTCCACTGCTCCTCTCTTCCCCTTTAACAAACAGAATCAGTTCTGCTGTGAATATGTTCAATAAACTTTTATTGTGAAGTGTAACAGGAAGTCCTCCTTCACATGAAAATAAGAGACGTAAGTTTGCGGCGTGGGTCCAGATCTACAGACCTCCTCTGAAAGCCTGCTCCTCCTCACTACGAGGGTCAAAGTTCAGCCAGCAGGAAGCAGACTGTGATGATGTCAGACAGGTAAGGAGGAAACACCTGCTGACATGTTCACGGTTCCTCTGAGAACCGGAGCGATCTGATCCTCCTCCGGTCCCTGTGGGTGTGTTTGTTTGTGTCACAGAGCGTCTCAGGGGGACGGGGTCATGATGAGGGAAAATGGCCGACTGTTGTGAGTCACAACGGAGCTTTGACACATTGACGTCTCGTCTTGATTCATGAGTCAGTGAGACTCAAAACCACCCATCCATCCAATCCAGGACCAGAACCACGGTTCTACCACCGAAGAACTTAGAACATGAGGACAAGCTCCTTCAACCAACATCAATGAGTCTGGATCAGATATGGACCAGACTGGGACCTGACCAGAACCAGACCACAGATAGGTGAACATGCTAGAACATGTTCTAACAGTTTGAACCTGACCACACAACAACCACCACAGTTCACCTGAAGTGACCTAGAGGTCAGAGGTCAGAGCAGCAAACACATAGGCTGACACCTGACCAGGAAACTGTCCACATACTTATGGCCATGTCGTGTGACGTCGCTCACAAACAGGAAGTAATACAGTGTTCCTGAGGAGATGCATCACTTCCTGTCAGTCTAATCAGCCGGTGAGTCACACAGGTTGAGTAACAGGTAAACAGAGGAAGAGATTCACCCCCCACCCCTCCTCCTCTGTGGAGGAGGGGTGGGGGTTATCAGTGAGGAGTGTCAGAGTTCCTGCGTGCCTTGAATGCCTTGAATGCCTCACTGTGAGAGTATTCGAGTATTGTTTCCCAGCAGCTCTCTGGTCTCTGTTATCACAGACCACTTGACCAGTCTGAACCGGGTCTCAGAGCCGAGACGCAGGTCCCCTGAAGACCTCCAGGACTAAATAAGATCTCAGACCTGATCTCAGATCTCAGACCTGATCCAGACCTGATCTCAGACATGATCTCTGATCAATACAATAAAAATTCTCAGTTTAACAACTTTTCTAGAAGCTCTTGAACAGACCGTGACATCATGATGAGGTCCCTCTGTCTACACAGACATCACACTGAAGTCCTTTCATTCAGTCTGTGTGTGTGTGTGTGTGCGTGCGTGTGTGTGTGTGCGTGTGTGTGTGTGTGAGTGTGTCTAATCTGTAATGAGGATAGAGTTAATCCAGCACAGATTACAACTAACAACACAACAGGTCCTCATGTCTAACCAATCATCTGATCCACATGACCTGAACACCTGTGAGGTCGTTCACACACACACACACACACACAAGCGCACACACACACACACACACAAGCGCGCGCACACACACACACACACTACAGGCACATGATCTTCACAACACACAGTCTATGTAGCACAAATGCATCACACAACAGCACCTTTATGGGTTCACATCACATCACACACACACGTCACACAGCACGTCATTAGCGTGATCAACAGACAAAATAAATAGACAGAAAGATAAAGGTTGTCTCACTGAGATGATGTCATCAGCATGACATCACAGCACCCGTTTTATGTAACACAGTTAAAGTCAGTAGCTTCCCTGGCGATTAAGAGTCTGGTCATGTGACCTGAGATTAGCTTTGAATGAAGACACACACACGCACACACACACAATAATCAAAGTTTTCTTTTAACAAACTCAGACTGACCTAAACATTACACTACCCATAAAACCTGGGGCCTGTCACTATCGAGACGCCTCAGTCCAGAACTGTGACTGTGTGAAAATGTAGCAGCAGGAACAGATTCTCGATCAGATCTTAAACCAGGGAGAATCGACCAGAACAAGAACAAAGAACCCTCATCTAAAGGACAGGGTTCTCTGACTGTCACTGTCAACAGAGCAAACAGTAGACAAACAGAGTGACAGACGTTCTGTCTTCATGTTGCTGCTTCACATCAAACATCAGAAACCAGACTACAGTCCTACCTGTCCACACAGAGACCAGGACCAGAGAGACCAGGACCACAGAGACCAGGACGAGGTCTGAGCGGGTCTGACAGAGTGTCCCTGCAGCTCTGACAGGAGGGGGCGGGGCTTAATCCAATTAGGATCAGAGGCAGTGAGATGCCACCTGCTGGAGTGGACTCTCATCTGATTCAGTCAAATAGTGTTTATTTACAACTGCTGTAACCATGACGACCATCACTTTATCCATACTGAGTAGAGATGCACACATAACACACACACACACACACACACACACACACACACACACACACACACACACACTGACCCTGGATCAGCTGTGAAACAGGAAAAGCAACATGGACGTCTGAGCAGCTCAGACACACAGCTATTGTCCTCTCTCTCTCTCTGTGTGTGTGTGTGTGTGTGTGTGTGTGTGTGTGTGTGTGTGTGTGTCTGCAGACGCTGCCGGCTCCCTCCACCACCGACCACAGAGAAGAAACACATCAACACAGATGACAACAAAGACTGATCTGTCGGAGAAGGGGGGGGGGGGCGAGAGAGGGTGAGAGAGAAAGAGAAAGAGTGAGAGAGAGAGAGAGAGAGAGAGGTTTTTTACCTTCACCCATGGAGACGTCATAGGAGGAGCTGTGAGATCCTTCAGGCATCACACTGTCCCCTACACACAAACACACACAGGTTTAATTAAACCTGATGAAGAGTCATGATGTCATTAGAGCCCCGCCTCTGAAGATATATGTGTTTGTGTTTGTGTTTATGTGTGTGTGTGTGTGTGTGTGTGTGTGTGTGTGTGTGTGTGTGTGTGTGTGTGTAGTCTCTGCAGGTGTGTGAAGGTCATCGAGCAGTGATGCGTTCAGGGACACTGCTCTGTCAGCAAAGTTCACTACAGCTGACACCGGGACCAGGTCTGGTCTTTACCACTCCACCTCTGGACGCTCAGATTCACCGTCTAAAGCTGCAGTCAGTGAACGCCGCACAGTCTCAACACTGTATCCCACCAGGTCCCGCCAGGTCCCCACTGAGACACAGTCAGGTACCAGGTTCCCACTGGACTTTCTGAACCTGTGAGCCGTGACAGCTGGTTTCACTGGTTCAGAGTTAAAGTGACATGAGAACAGCAGCTGATAATCAATCGATTGATTGATCAGGTGACTCAGTCTGATGAGTTTCATCCTGCTGACCTGTGTGTTTTCTGTCATGCTGTGTTTCATGTTAAACAGTGAGGCCAGGTGAGGCAGATCAGGTGACCACACACCTTAATCAGCTGATTGACATGAGGACTGAAGAACCGGACTGACCAGAAGAGACCAGGTGACATCAGCAGGTGGAACACAGCAGAGTCTCAGTCCTGGACTGATTCAGACTCCTGGTCTGACTGATAACTGAAAATCAGTTCATCAATAACATGATCAGCACATTAATGAAATGTTTTTATGTCTTCATCAATACTTTATCACCTGTCAATCAACTGATCAACCTGTCCAGACCCCAGGTGTTGGCGGTGCAGGTCTGGTTGCTGTGGTAACCCCAGGTCTGTCAGCAGTCAATCTGAGATCCTGTTAGAGGCGTCAACGCCCTGAGGCAGCCTGTCTTGGCCCCGATCAGCTCCAATCAGTCTGATCAGGTTGCCATGGAAACGCGGAAATGAGTAGACACACTGAGCCGCCCGCACACGCGCGCACACACACAGATCTGATCTGTTGTTTTTTTCTTGTTCTGACACGAACTTCCTTTTAAAAACGCGTCACTGAATCTTCCTTCGCTGCTCGTGCAGCTGCAGATCCTCATCGTCACGTCTCGATGCTTCATCTTCATCGTCAGGCTCTTCTGTTCACTTCGGCTCCGTGTGTTTCACCGAGCAGCTGAAATCTGGACAGAGTTCAGACTTGTTCCCTCCGTCTCAACGTTGGCTGGGTGCCGCTGACAGGGCGTGTTTCTGGGGCGAGCTGCCGCGACAGACACCAGCAAAAGTTAATCTGTGCTGAGAATAAGCGCTGTCATGTGTTTTAGATGTAAGCCGAATTACAGACAGACTCCACCCGACTCTAACAAACACCATATTATCGCAGAAGAAATCGTTATTTTCTCAAATAAACGCGTAATCTTTAAATGTCAAGATTTCCTAACGAGGCTCTGCACCGGCAGCCCCACCTACACGCTTCATAGGCAGCGGACTGAACCTTGTGGCTCAGTGATACTGTGATGTTTTAAATGAGACTGATTTAAAGTCAAACTGCAGAGTCCGCTCCACAGTCTGATGCGTTCAGGTGACGCGGGTTAAAAAGCAGAGAAACACTTCCTGCTCAGAAAAGCGAGTTTAAACGCGTCAGAAACATCCAGAGGAAACTTCACTGAGTTTCTATCAACACACTGTGGGTTTGTTCCGACACTTCCTCAACACTCAGCAATGAAGTACAGGAAAGTAAAGTAAAGTAAAGTAAAGTAAAGTAAAGTAAAGTGGAGTCCGGACTCACCTCAGTGAAGCTTGATGTTACAGTTGGCGGTAAATGTTCTTCGGTCTCATCCACTCTGTTTGCTTTGGTTCTAATAAAACCTCCAGTGTTCCTTCATTAAACCTCCGCTGTCTGCCCCCACTCCCTCTGCGCATGCGCCTCGTTTGAACCAGTACGAAAACGTAAAGCAGCAGAAGACAGGCAGATTTTTTTCTGCTCTAAGCTTCGAGGGTTCCACTGAGAACCAGCAGAAGGTTCCACTGTACGGAAGAGGATGAGGGTCACATGAGATTCTTTTAATTCTGAGATTAAAGTCAGAATAAAAAAAAAGTTCATGTCTTATAGGACGTGAACTTTATATACCAGGATATAAAACAGATCCAGGATCAGGTCACAGTCAGGTTCAAAGGTCACATGACCTCTGTGATGAAGATGAAATAATGAACACATGAACTCTTCACTCTGATTCAGCAGGAGCTATTTCTGCATCAATCATTAATCAATTAATCAATACACAGGAAGTGGATCTGATACTGGTCAGTCTACTGATCACTGATCAGTCTGGGGAGTCCTGCTCAGACAGAGAGGGATTTTAACCTCGTTAAAGGTTAATGAATTTGAAAAGGTGACATCAATGTATTTAATTCAAATGTTTGTTTATCATTATTATTGTTGTATTAAAACTAATCTGCTTCACAAGACGTTATTGATTGATTAATGAATGATCATGAGGAGTGTGATTAAACGATAACGAGTCTCTGTCTCCCCCTGCTGGACACGAGAGAGCTGACAGAGACAGAGACAAAGACAACTCTGTTACAACATCAGTGAGGACATGACGAGTCTCAGCCTGTCTCTCACACACACACACACACACACACACACACACACACACACACACACACACACACACACACACTTCTGTCTGTGTTTACATGCAGGTTTCAACATGTGGTTTTATGTGAAAGGTAAAAACTTGTATGTCCAGTTCTGCTGAGACACACAGACAAACTGTGGAGATACCAGGTTCTCAGCTGTTGTTATGACTAAGTTATAATCAGTAATTAAACAAACTCATTTAATTCACTTTAACTGCTTGTTAACTGGTTTCTGAAGCTTTCAGCCACATCTCTTGGCCTTCCTCGGTTGTCATGGTGACGGTTCAGATCCTATGTCTCAGAGACGAGCTGCAGCTCGTTGATACGAGAAGATAAACTAAAACAGTTGAAGAAATAAATAGTTAATAATCTTAATAGTTATAGTAATTAGTTATAGTTATAGTCTTAAAAGTTATAAATTAATAAACAAAGTTTCTTCTTCATGAGGCTTTATTGGTGAATGACACAATAAAAACAAGATGAGATAAGAAACACCTGAGATCATTTAAGGTTCTGTATCAAAGTTTCCTCTGCTGCTGAGGGTCGACCAGGTGACGCAGCTTCAGCATCAGGTAATGACACGTCAGTGAGTTGCTATCAGAGAGCTAGCTGTTAGCATGCTAACTTCAGTAGCACTTATCATTGGTGTTTTTTCAGCTGTTGTCTCCAGAGGAATTAAGTTTTTTCTAGACTGGTAAGCAAACAGCTGATAATACTAATGCTAATGCTGATGCTAACGTTAGCTATGTAGCATTAGCTTAAACTTACATACAGCTCCTTTAAAACAAATAACTTCATAACCTGAGACCCAACAAACTCATAAACAAACAAACTCAACAAATTCATAAATATATCACACACACCTGAGCAGAAACCCAACGAACAGAAATATGTTTACACGCAAAACAGCTGATTACAAAGCAATCCATCAATCAATCAATATGTTGATTCAATAATTGACTTTCCACAATATTGAAATGATTGATAATAATCTACTTTACATTTGACAGGAGGGGGAGGGGCATTACAGTGAAGTAGGAACAACATCTGGAAACACCTGGAAACAGGAAGAAACAGAAACAGCTGGGACCAGTCTCCACGGCAACAGCAATGATGACCTTACACAAGTCTGTGGTTGTCACAGCGACAAAGGTGATGACGTCATACAGGTCTGTGGTCGTCAAAGTCTGTGGTCGTCATGGTGCTGTTGTGAATGATGATGATGTCACATAGGTGAGGTGATGACATCATACAGGTTTGGTGGTGCTGTTGTAAACGAGCGTGTCCTGCTCTGACAGCGCCACGTGGGCGGGGCCTGTGGAGACGGGCCTATGGGAGCGCTCCCTCCGGCCCTTCAGGAAGCAGTAGGTCATGATGGCCAACAGAGCCAAGATGGCCACTGACAGGAACACAGCCAACGCTATAGAGCCTGAGGAGGACACAGTGAGGTCACTTCCTGTCAGCTACACTGTAAAACACCAGGTAGGAACAACATGTGACTGTAGTCTTTATGTTACAGGTGATCTCACCTGAGTCGTCAGACTCCTCCCCCACCTCCTTCTCAAAACGGTCAAACATCCCTCTGGAGAACACGTGACGCTCTGCACAAAGAGACCACGTCCTGTCAAACTGTGGCGATCAGGCTATTACATCTACCTCGACCACATGGACTACCTGGACCACCTGGTTACCTAGCCTACCTGCTCTACCTGGACTACCTGGATCACCTGGACAACCTGGACTACTTGTCTCGTGTGTCGTACCTGTCACTCCGGCGCAGGTGTTGCTGCACTTGTCTTCCTCCTCAAAGTTGTTGTCGTTTCCGTCGCAGCCGCCGAAGGTGAAATGGTGGCACTTCCTGTTCAGGGGGTCGTAGTACCAGCGAGTGTGACTCGCCCGACAAGGACCGGTGTGGGGGGGCTCTGTGCACCGAGCTGGGGTGGCGGGATATTAGCATGTAGCATATTAGCTTAGCTTCAAGGGCTAATGAGTCGGTGTAGCTGAGACTAAAGACACTGACCTTTGGTCTGGTTGACATCGATACTCAGCAGGCGACTGAAGGTCTGGTTCACTGAGGAAGAGGAGGAGGAAGATCACTGCTGTGTGTGTGTTTAGTCTTGTGTGTCTATGGCTGTGTGTGTTTGTGTGTATGTTACGTTTGTTGCAGTGCCCCTCGTCTGATCCGTCGCTGCAGTGCTTCACACCGTCACACTCCAGACTTCTTTCCAGACAACAGCCGCTGTCGCAGGTCAGCTGATCGGGACGACACACCGACCCACACACCTCTTAACACACACATACACACACACACACACACACACACACACACACACACACACACACACACACACACACACACACACACACACATTTATCTTGTCACATCATAAACATGCTGATAGGAAGAGGTGTATTGTGGGACTGACCTGTGGCGGGGAGAGTGGCGCCCCTCTCTGCTGTCGCTGTGGACAAAAAGACATCATCAGTCTGTGTGCAGGTGTGTTCAGGTGTGTGTCAGGTGTGTATTAGGTGTGTATCAGGTATGTATCAGGTGTGTGTCAGGTGTGTACTCACCTGTGACTCCTCCACAGGCGGTCAAACACTCGTGCTCACTCAGGTAGTTGTTGTGGTTTGGTTTACAGCCTCCGAACACAAACTGCTCACAGATTCCCGCCGCAGCGTCGTAACGCCAGCGAGGAAACATGGCGCGACATGGACCGACCTTCTCCGGAGCCAGACAGTACACTGATGCAGGAAGGTGACATCATCAGGAAAAAGCACGACGACAGAAAGCTCAGTGAGTGTGACAGTGTGTTGATCATCAAGTTGATTATTGTGATTCATTCAACAGCAACTGTGTGTGTGTGTGTGTGTGTGTGTGTGTGTGTGCCACTTTAAAGGGAGTGTCATCGTATCAGCTATGTCGTCACCCTGGTTACTATGGTAACGCTGTATTTACTCAACAGTTTTATGACCTGGACTTATATCAACACTTTAACACACACAGTCTATAAACAGTTCTGAGTGTGTGTGTGGGTGTGTGTGTGTGTGTGTGTGTGTGTGTGTGTGTGTGTGTGTGTGTGTGGGTGTGGGGGGGGGCAGGTATTCCAGTCTGACCTGTTTAAGTCAGGTGTGGATCCTCAGTGTGAAAACACAAACACTGATTCACTGAACGTCACAACACTCTGATCGACTGAACTGTTTCTATCAGTTCTACTGATCAATAAAGTGTCAATGAGGCAGTTCTGATCACATGATCTGATTTACGTGTGTTTGGAGGGAAAAACAGTGGACCACATTTCCCATGAGCACTCACAGCTTGACATCTCCGGGCTGAGGACCAGGACGGTAACCTTGGCAACACCTGACAGGTCGTTGGAGTCGGTGACGGTCAGCTGGAAGATGTACGAGCCCAGCTGCAGGTTGGAGAGCCGCACCTGGTCAGGTAGATCTGTCTTCTGCAGAACCACATTCAAAAATAAGCCAGTTTAACAGTGAATCACCTGGATGCACAGCAGCAGGTTTAGTGTGCGTTAAGCAGAAGTTTTCTTCTCCAGAGAGTAAGTAAAAACACAGAGTGATCTGGAGGATCACACAACACGCCGAACCCACCTGCAGACTCACCTGTACACAACCATCCTATCACTGTTCTCAATGAAACAAGGGGAACACCAACTTTGGTTCCATAAACGCTGCAGCGCTGTACGTCAAAGATGAAAGTACGTACCCTGCTTGGTCTACCTGTGTTAAGCCCGGCCCTCTGTGACTCAGCAGGTCTTACCTCCATCTTGACACTGGGGTCTCCGCTCAGCAGACTCCACTGGTGGTCAGTGATCTGGGCGTCGCCCAGCGCCAGGCTCTCGGTTCCATTCAGGGTCACAGTCTCTCTGGGCTGAACGATGACATCACGACCTGCGTTCGCAATGGGTTCACCTGGAGACAGTGATGTCACAGAGGAATCATGTTTATTAAACTGTTTCCTGTATGACATTACACTGTCTCCTGTATGACATCACACTGTCTCACTATGACATCAAACTGTCCTGTATGACATCACAGACTCATCTATGACATCACATTGATATGTCCACCAGGTTTTGTGTGACTCGTTGTGATCATCTATGACACTGATCAGACTCATTAGTCGATGTGTAACCAATGACTGCAGTATTGATCTATGATCACTATTGATCAGTATTGATTGATACTGTCCAGGTGGGGGCTCACCTGGCTCCTGCGGCCCCTCCAGGTGTTTCAGGAACACGGACTCTCTGAAGTAGCTAAGGTATCCGGCCTGGTTCACGAACCTGCACACGAAGCGGTTTCTGTGGATGCAGTTAAACAGGACACACGTGCGCATGTCCTCCTCTTTCGCCGCCGCCTCCGCCGCTCCGGTGCCGCGCGGCTCCAGCAACGCCAGATTGCAGCGCGGTTTCCCGCAGCACTCGCGCTCACAGGCCTCCGGGGAGCGGACGCGCGCAGTGGCCAACAGAACCGCACCCTCCTTCACCGCGTCCTCCGCGTCCAGCACGAAGTCTTCCTGACCGGGGCGGAAAGTGCCGCTGCAGTCCGCGTCCTCTGCCGCGCCGCCGTACCGAAGCAGAGGGAGGAGGAGGAGGAGGAGCGGCAGCCGGGGGGAGGAAGAGGAGGATGGAGGCATTTTCAGCAGCAGTCAATGTGAGTGTTTGAGGAAGAGCAGTTTACCGCCTCCTGACACTCCAACCGCTCCGCTCTCACAGGTTCAGGTCAGCTGAAGAGACGAAGCGTTTTCCGCTTCTGCCGTTAATTTAAACGTTAAACGGTGAAAAACAAACGGTCTGTTTGAACCGTCAGTCCCTGCTCCGTCCGTTCACCTGCTCAGGTGTGTCTCACCTGTCTCACAGGTGACAGGAAGAGAAGCAGACACTCCCCTGGCTGGCCAGTTACTCTGACGTCACTCAGGTGTGGCCACACCAGAAGGAGGCGGAGACACCGCCGCTCCTCAACAGGTACATTCGGTCAGATTCAGGAAGCTTTTCAAAATAAAGGTCTGGTGGAACATACTACATCATTAAGTTTTTGTTGTTTCATTGTGAATATTTTAATAAATAAATTACAAAATGATAGAATTCATGTAAATTTCCATAAACTAATGATATACAGTATGTGAAAATATGAAATGTTCTTATAGAATATGCACGAATTTTCATGTGTTGTTTTAATAAACTTGTATTTATAAATTAAATATATATTGTTAAAATATATGGATTTTATAAATAAAAATGCATCATAGATATGAAATGTTATAAAAGTATATCTCCATATATCCAGAGGATGTATATATGTGATGATAATATAGGAACATATACGTCATATGACATCTCTGTGAGTTATAACTAAAAATCTTTTTCTTTGAAACTAACAACAAACACAAATGTTTCAGGACCTTTATTTTACTCATTATTTGATACTTAACACATTATAATGGTAATTATAAATATCAAGCTATGTTTTTATTTTTTAATGATCTAATATAAATTTACACCAGGTTTATTTTCTTTTTCTTTTTTAATAAAATTAGATTCTGAATATAATCTGAGTGTATTTATCTGTGTTCATCTTTATTTATTTATTAATCACCAATTATAATAATCTGTCGTTTCTCATGTTGTTGAACCTTATTTCAGCCATCGAACAAAACACCCAGAGACTTCAGGACCAGGGAACATGGTTCTGGTTTTAGGACTGAGTCCTGCTGCCATCACACTCCATTATTCATGTCTGCTGGATCAGGACTCTGCTGGACCAGGACTCTGCAGGACCAGGTCTCTGCTGGATCAGGACTCTGTTGGACCAGGACTTTGCTGGACCAGGACTCTGCTGCATCAGGACTCTGCTGCATCAGGACTCTCCTGCATCAGAACTCTGTTGGACCAGGACAGCTCTGAACACACACACACGCACACGCACACACGCACACACGCACACACACACACACACACACACACACACACACACACACACACACACACACACACACAAACACAAACACAAGTAGAGGTGTAGTGTAACCGAGTGTAACGCTGTCCCTGTGCAGTTCACACTCCCACCAGCGGGGGCGCTGTGACAACGGAAATGACGTCTGAATCGTTCTCGTGAAATCGTCCAATCAGAGCGCGCGCAGGAAGTTTAAACCGCGCAGCACTGACAGCGGCTCCGTTTGAACCCGTATAAACATTCGTCAATTACAAGGTAAGAAAACAATCTTTTCACTCGGACTCTCGTGTGTTGATGAAACGGTGGGAGTTTGAATCTTTCTTCTACCCACCCGAAGCCTGCTGTCCGAGTTAAACCGAGTTAAACCGGGTTAACGACTGACAACGTTAGAGACGTTAGCGAACAACTCCGTCAGACCGGCAGGTTATAATGAACCTGCTCATCGCGAGGTTTGATCCGGATGAAACCGGTTTACAGAGTTTATTGGAAACACGATGGTCCCGTGTATAATCAGGTTCAGACAAATGTTTGGTGTGTGTGTGTGTGTGTGTGTGTGTGTGTGTGTGTGTGTGTGTGTGTGTGTGTGTGTGTGTGTGTGTGTGTGTGTGTGTGTGTGTGTGGGACGCTTCTGATTGGTTCAGACTGAGTGCTGAGATCTGATCTGATTGGTCCGTTCCGTCCAGGTGCAGTCATGGCAGAGGGGTCAGTGATGCAGTTGGGACCGTCTGTGGACTCACAGTAAGTGTTCATAGCGCTCTACAGAAGCCCAGAGGGGACAAAGGTGTCTCTGTATTTATTTTTTCTGTCTGATGCTTTTATTTAAGAAAAAAAAAACCCATAAAACTCATGAGACACAACCTTCCTCTCTGTTGCTCCTCGTACTGACGTCACTCTCACTGTAAACTAAACGTTCAATAGTCTGACTCCTCCACGTGTTTCCCGATTGGCTGCAGCACAGCCGATCAGAGTGGGACACACCTGAGCGGAAGGGTGGGGCTTCAGGAGGAGGGCGGAGCCAGCCAGTGGAGTGCGTACTGCAACGAGCTGCTGATGAGAGGAGGAGAGGAGTTCAGCTTCGAGGAGCTCCGAGCCCAGAGATACTTTCAGCAGAGGCAGGGGGAGATGGATGGTGCGTTCACTGACCTGAGGACTGTGACTGATGTGTTCACTGACCTGAGGACTGTGACTGATGCGTTCACTGACCTGAGGACTGTGATTCGTTCACTGACCTGAGGACTGTGACTGATGCGTTCACTGACCTGAGGACTGTGATGCGTTCACTGACCTGAGGACTGTGATGCGTTCACTGACCTGAGGACTGTGATGCGTTCAGTGACCTGAGGACTGTGACTGATGTGTTCACTGACCTGAGGACTGTGATGCGTTCACTGACATGAGGACTGTGGCTGATGCATTCACTGACCTGAGGACTGTTTCTTACAGAGAGACTGAAACATCTGAAGGAGGTGAAGGAGCAGCTGAGTGTCGAGCTGGAGGAGAAGAGGAGACTGTTACTGCTGAGGACCTCACAACAACAGGTACTGCTACAGTACTACTACTGTACTATGACTGTACTACTACAGTATGACTACTGTTCTACGACAGTACTACTACTGTACTACTACACTGCTACTGTACTATGACTGTACTACTACAGTATTACTACTGTTCTACGACAGTACTACTACTGTACTACTACACTGCTACTGTACTATGACTGTACTACTACACTGCTACTGTACTATGACTGTACTACTACAGTATTACTACTGTTCTACGACAGTACTACTACTGTACTACTACACTGCTACTGTGCTATGACTGTACTACGACAGTACTACTACTGTACTATGACTGTACTACAACAGTATTACTACTGTTCTACGACAGTACTACTACTGTACTACTACACTACTACTGTACTATTACTGTACTACGACAGTACTACTACACCATGATGTATGTGTGGTTGTTAACCAGGTGAAAGGTTGATATCACATGACCAACAGCAGGTGTTTGTGTGTGTGTGTGTGTGTGTGTGTGTGTTTGTGTGTGTGTGTGTGTGTGTGTGTGTGTGTCCCAGGTGCTTCCTGAAGCCCCCCCCTCTCAGAGCAGAGACTCAGGTCCAGCTGCAGCCCCCTCCTTCCAGATCTACGATGAGTCCCCGTCTGCTGCTGCACGGCCTGCTGGGTAATTAACACTACCTACACACTGCGTGTGTGTGCGTACGTGCGTGTGTGAGTAAATTGTGACCAAACTCTTCACCTGTCAACAGGAATTCTGAGCTGCAGGACGACGTCTTCCTCCGTCCTGACGAGAGAGGACTGTGTCTGAAGGTCCACTGTCCCCGACCAGGTGAGTCTCTGGACCAGCTCTGACCTCATTGGTTCCTACTGAAGACCTGAATCTAATTAAAGTCTCAGTCCTCAAAATGTAGATTAAACAGGAAGTGGTGACTTTGTTGGGGACTATTTTCAGCGGCGGATTAATCCACTGAAAATCTTGTGATCACGTGTTCACCTGTTCATATGTTCACCTGTTCACCTGTTCATGTATTCATATGTGACTGTTGTCAGATGATCGCAGAGGGATGCCTGAAGACCTCCAGACTCTGGACTCCTGTCCCCGCTCCGTCCCTCAGAAACCAGTCTCCAAAGTCACGAAGAACCTGAGTCCCATACAGGAGACCAGTGTGGAGGCCAACTCCCTGACCTCAGTGGACCAGGACCAGGACCAGAACGCTCCATCACCTGGTACGTGGTCTGTAGACCTGCAGCTGGTGTCCTCCTGCTCCTCTCACTCACTGTCAGTTTGATCTGCTTCAGGACCTGTTGGGGGCGCCTTGGATCCCTGTGACCCGGACGTTCGGCGGCGGCTGTTGGACCGCTGTGATGTCACTTCCTCTCCTGGTTTTCACTCTGAATCCCGGCCCCTCCCTCCTGTGTGCGGCTGTCTGCAGCTTGGTACGTTCTCCATGTCCACACTGAGTGGAAACTGTGTAACTGATAGATATTGATTATTGATCAGCTCTGTGTTGTGTCCACCAGAGGGCGAAGTGTATCGTATCTACTCCAGAGTGGTGGATGGAGGGAGTTTCTCCATCTATAGTGGAGCTACAGAGGAAGACTGTGTGTTAATCAAGGTAACCTGGTGTTAGCCTTGTGCTAATCTGGTCCTAATCTGGTGTTAGCCTTGTGCTAACATGTGCTAATCTGGTGCTAACCTGGTGTTAGCCTGGTGCTAACCTGGTGTAAGCCTAGTGTTAGCCTGGTGCTAACCTGGTGACCACGCACTCTGGTTCCTGTGTTCATTTGCTGCAGGTGGACAGCTGCTGCGTTCCCTGGGATTTTCATCAGTTTAATCGCCTGAAGAAGAGCTCCGCCGCCGCCAGCCTCCCTCTGATCAGCTGTTTCCTGTTCCTGGACGGATGCGTCACTGTCTACACATGTCCACCTGATCACATTTTCACTGTGAGTCACTTCCTGTTCAGGTCCCCACAGACACTCCAGTCAGTCAGCAAAACACGTACACACACACACACACACACACACACACACTGTGGGGACTTCAGGTTCCAGCAGGTGCAAAGTTCCAGGAAAGAAAATGTTCTCTCTCTCTCTGTCTCTCTGTCTCTGTCTCTGTCTCTCTCTCTCCCCCTCTCCCTCTCTCTCTCTCTGTCTCTCTCTCTCTCTGTCTCTCTGTCTCTGTCTCTCTCTCTCTCTGTCTCTCTCTCTGTCTCTGTCTCCCCCTCTCTGTCTCTCTCTCTCTCCCCCTCTCTCTCTCTCTCTCTCTCTCTCTCTCTCTCTCT